AAAACCCAGAATAACTTTCTGCTGATTGAGACTTCTCTTTCTGTCACTCAGATTCTCGTGGTCTCCAAGTACGGTGTAAGGATAAACCACCAACGCGCCTGTCTCTGGCCACGAGAGACTCGGAGTCATTTGAAGGTGTAACTGACAGTAAGATTAGTGAGAGCCGAATGGCTACACCATCTACTGGGGATAGACCCACTCCCCGAGCATCAGGTTTGCCTGTGCCAATTGGAACATCCCATGATAACTCCAAGTTACGCGGCATTCTGCCAGAGCAACGTCGCAGTATGGCACCAAAACATAAACCTTAATCAACGTGCAGAGAGAAACTACATTTTTTTTTTTTTTTTTTTTTTTTTTTTTTTTTTTTAATTTTAAAAAAAAGGGGAAAAAAACAAAAAAAAACCAACAGCAACAACAACAAAGTAATAAAAAAAAAAATTAAAACGTGGCCGAGATTGGTGTTGGGTGGGATGAAATGTTGTAAGGTTTGTGTGATGTGACTCGTGTCGATATCTTAAAACATGTATTTTTAGCAGACCTACAGTTCTTCAGAGGACGGCCCTAAAATCCTCTTACACTTGACTGCCTCGTTAACTGTTGTACATAAACTTTTTAAAAACTTTTCCTATGGAAACTTCAAGCCAGAAATTTTAAATTTCAAACATTTAAAGTAAGACAAAATAAAAAACACCCAGTAATATGTTGGTCTTCAAAAAAAAAAAAAAAAACACTTTTTTCCTCTCTCTCTCTCTCTCCACTGATAGATTTTCTTCCTTAATTTATGTATTTATTTTGATCACTGACAAAAATGATGATGTCATCATTTACTTTTCTCCAACACACATTCTTTGCCATTCCATATTGAAAAAAAAAAAAAAATAACTATGTAAACATCCTTGAGAGCTCTTTCTTCAATTCCTTCTGTGCCAACATTTGCTACTATGAATGAGGCTGTCCAACAAATTCATTGGAAATTGAGAAAAATATTAAACATAGACATCTATTTTCATTTCATCTGAAATATATATATATATATATATATATATATATATATAATCAAAAAATAAAACAAGAAAAAATTAGTTTACTTAAACTATCAGTCAGTGTAATAAATGGTGTCTATGGAAAAGTTCTGATATTGGTAATAGGTATATTTACTTACCTGAGCATTTGTCTTTAAAGTAAGGCAATGTCATTATTGCATGATAATCATCATTGGAAACCTGAAGCAAAAATTGGTTTTCCAAATGACCAACTTGATTTTGCAGAACAACTTACTCTCCCAACCCGTGCATTGAGTCTTTTGTTATTACATACGGTAATAAACAAATTATCAATCTTTAAAATATTTTTCCTTTAAAACAATTTAAATAAGTTTGTTCAAATTAACTTGGTTCCTATGTAATATTTGACTTTTTTTTTCTTTTTTCTTTTTTCTTTTTTTTTTCTTTTCCTCATTTATTTGAGCACTTCATTATTTTTTTTTATTTTTTTTTTTTATGCAGTTAAAATGCATTCAGTCTTAAAACCCTGGGTGATATTGAGGTCTGGTGAATATATTGGTGCATGTTTTGATAAGACTATGTTAATAGCCAAAGAAATAAAGCTTTTCCAACAAGTAAGATTTGTAGTCTACAACTGTTAGATGATCACGGTTTTAAATTTTCAATATGGTCAGCATTTATTATGAAACAGTTCCTCTTTATTAAGAAAATAAGGCATTTTTAGGTTTTTAAGTATCCTTTCTACAAGCCTAAAATATCAGTTCTGCTGTGGATAAATGCTATTTATTGTATCTCAAAGTAACTAAGAAAATTATCTTTTTTTTTTTTTTTTTTTTTTTTTTTTTTTTAATTCTCTCTATCTATCTATCTCTCTCAAACACAAAAAAAGCAGCTCATTCTTGGTGAAAATTAATGAAGGTATAGCAAGAAAGGGACAGTTGGGCTCCTACTTTAAAGTGTCTTTTCATATAAAAATCTTTCAAACTTTAATTAATCCCTTCCATAGGTAATTTAGCTTCCACTCCCCACCCTGCCGCTTAGCTGGGAGTAAGCATTTGGTGTCTTTCTATTCAACATCTTTACTTATGATTTATGAATTCATTTTATCTCTATTAGCCATTTAAACATTTTAACAAATGTGAAATTTGATTAGGTGTTAACATGCAAAAAATAATTTACAAACAGCTGCTGTGAAATTGGTCACTCCCAGAACTTTTTAGTCTCCAAACCTTTCATATCTTGATCTTCAGTTATTAGATTTTTTCTTTAAAAAATAAAATTTAAGATTGAAATAGTCTGATTAAGGGTGGGGACTTTAAGTAATATAACTGGATTTTATTCTTTTTGTTTGAAAATTAGTTGATAAATTGCTTGTTGAATCATTTGGCTGATGGAAATAAAGTATCACTTTTGTTCAATAGAATATTTTTTAAGGTTAGCAATAATTCAAAGTAGATAATTTATTTCTTAATTATTAAAAAAATATTAATTTGTGTTCATGATTTTAAATTTTATTTTTGTTGTTTAAATTTTACTTTGTCATATTTTAATTTATTCTTTTTTTGTATTCTATTTTGCGTTATTTTCAGTAGAATCTATTTTATTCTAGCTCAGTGGTTCCTAACATTTAAAAAAGAAAAGAAAAACAGCTGATAAAACTCAATCTAAAGTTTTTAAAATGAATCGGTTAAACCTTAATGACCCCTCAGCCACAATGCTTTTCACTCTTCTGATCAAAATTTCAAATTGTTCTCCCTCTCCATATTCAGATTACCTCCCTGTGGGGCATGTGCCCCACATTAGGAATCACTGATCTGTTAAGCCTGAAGTATATTTTTTTATATTATCTTTATTACTATCATTTCACATTTAAGCATTTGTGAAAGCCACATATGATAGAGCATAAGTTAGGCCTTAACTACACATGTTGGACATCTTAATTAAATGAAACCATGATAAAGAAAAGTAACTTATGGGTGTTAATGTAAAAGTAATAAATTGAATCTTATTCTTAACTTATATGATCATATAAGTGTAATTAGAAATTAGGCTTAAATTTGCTGCTGTTACTCATTTTGCCACTTTCAAGCTCTAAAAGAAAATTGGAAACTGTTTACTCATTTTGTTTTTTTTTTTATTTATTTTTTAATTACTGCCTTTATATGGACTGAATACTTATTAGTTACAGGTGTTTTACCATACATCATTGATAAGTTTTTATAGTTTATTTATTTTTTTAATTCTTTTCTTTTTACAAATCAAATATTACACCATGTACAGCAACTGTATGTTTTATCAATGTTTTATATTTTCCACCCATTTCAAAAATTGAGAGATTTAATGCATTAAATTTTTAACTTAAACATTATTATATATGAATTTATAAATATAAATGCTTAAAAAAGAAAAAAAAATAACTTTCTGATTTGGTTATTGTATGGTGGCATACTAAGAGATTAACAACCAGTGAATATAGACTTTGGATGCAACTGTTAATGTTTTTCATTTAAATAATGCTCTTGATCACTCTAATTTAGAAACAAGAAATTGTGAGGTGTATTGAAATAGTTAATTTCTGTTTCTCTTGAGATGATTTGTAAATTGTTCAGGATTTATGATAAATTACTAGAGTTAAAAAAAAAAAAAAAGTTATGCTTGTATTATAAAAGTTAGTGGGAGCTTATTCCAAACTAATTATAGTTTTCATTAGCTTCACCCATCTTATTTGCAAACATAATTTTTAAAAGTATGATAATTTTCAAAATAAACTTTCTCTTTTTTTCAAATTTATAACCATAGTTTACAAAAGTCATAAGGTAATTTGTGATGTAAGCAAGTTTAGTGAATTGTAGAATATTTATCTTTTATAATATAGTCATGCTTGCTTTAATTATTCTTTTTCTTCATAATTGGAAAAATTTTATTTGTCATGAAATGCCATTTTTGCTTTTCATGTCTATTGTTACAGGAATGTGTATTTATTGAAGTTTATAATGACCAAGAAATGGAAAATGAGGCATTGTACTCTTGATGTTATAAAAAGGCATAAACAAAAGATTGCTTTTGTGTGGGAGGGATATAATCAGGACTTTACTTTGATTTAACAACTGCCTCTGTCCACCCATCCCTGGTCTTCTTTCAAAAAGCTTTTCTACTTGTCATAATAGCTATTTTATAAGAATTCAGAACCTTTTTCTGACTTTGAACTAATTATTTTCTCTTTTAAGTGTTTAAAAAAAAAAAAAAAAATTACAAAGGAATTTTCAGCAGATTTCCTAGAAGGATGCAGTTGAGTCAATTTTTCTTCTTCTCCCAAATAAAATTCCAAAAGTACTTGTATAAATTTGATTTATTTAAATATATATTAGAAATATGTAAAGCATCTTTCCCATTTAATTTCTTTTTTTTTTTTTTTTTTTTTTTTTTCTTGATTAAATTCTTACAACAAATATTTTTTCATTATTTTTATGTTTTTATTTTTTAATTTTTAAAATTTTTTATTCTTTTAGTTCTTTTGTTTTATCAACTTTTATTGCTTTCTGTTATTAGTTACCCTTGTTGGTGTTTTATTTTATTTATTTAAAAACAAATTTTTTTTCTCTCTCTCTTTCTCTTTATTGTAGTTTTGATTTTCATTTTTTCCTCATGATACTTTAGATTTCAGGTCGAAAAAAAAAAATTGAAGTTTGCTAGAAATGGAGAAGACTGACAGATATTATTTGTAAGCATCTTTTCTCATCAAAATCTGTCATGACTTTTTTCCCCTTTTTAATTTTTTTTTTTTTTTTTTCTTAATGTTCTAATTTTTCACTTAGAATGACTTTCATTGCTTCTGTAAAACTGATGTTATTATAATAAGCTGAATGAAAACTACAAAAGTAATGATCATAGTCTACTGTTTGTCAGTTTAGTCTCCTTGTTACCAATTTAACAAATTAGTTTTGTATTTTTACTGATATTTGTAACATTATATACACACACACACTGCAAATATTGCTGATAGTTCTACTAATAGTAATCTATTAAGATGAATCCTTGCTACTAATTGATTCCTGTGTATTTTCATCTTTGTTCTTATTTTAACAATTTAAATGAATTTCACATCAAGTGCGTTTTGGTAACAAGAACAAAGTTGATATTTTTTATAATAGTAATAATACATGCAAATTGTAGTAGCATGCCTTACTTTCTGTCTACAGCAATTTGTAATAATAATTTTACTCAAATATAATACAATGTTGTGAAAGTTTTTTTTTTTTTTTTTTTTTTTTTTTTCCCCCTATATATTTTAATGCCTTCAAAAACAAATGGTTTATGAGTAACAATTGTCAAGGTAAAAGGAAATATATTTACTGTTGTAATTAATCCCATTATATGGTTAAGACAACCTGTGCATGAGTTTTATCTTTTGTAAGCAAAAAAAGTGCTTTTAACTTAAATTATATACATGTATTTTATATTTATATATGATATAAATATGGTTAAAGCTCAGGGGAAGTGTGTTGTTGGGAATAAGTCTATAATCGTATAATTAGTTTTCGTAAAAAATAATTTTCTTTTGCACATTCCGTCAATGCCTAGAGCTCACTTGCTATCCTCGTGACTTTGTTTTAATTTTTTTTATTTTTATTTCATGCTACCAGGAACCAAGTGTTCATATGTAACTAATATTTTAACAATGTTTTTTACTAGTTAGGATTTCCCCTCTCCCTTTTTTATACACCTGACCTTCTATTTTTATGTTGCTCTTTTTCTTTTTGCCATTTTGTTCTTTCTTTGATAATGTTAGAACAGTGCTCCTGCATTTGAATTTTGATAAATGGAAATTGGGATTATTTTTTCCCCAAAACCACTTTACTCTTCTATCACTGAGCCAAGCATTTCCATGCAAACTGCTGCACTTTGTCTGCTTTTCATTAGTCATAGACATTTTTTTCTCTGATTAAGCCAACAGATTTTGTGCCTCATTCTTTATTTTCAATATCTACCACTGATGCACTATAAACAAAAGATGAAAAATAAGCCATTGCTACAATGTATTTTCCTCTTTTTGGACAATGTGGAGTTAAAAATTTCATTATCACTTTACATGTCAGTCCTAAGAGTTAAGAATTTTTTATTTTTATTTATTTATTTTTTTTTTTTTTCCAACCTTGGCTGTTATAATTTTATCTGTTACAATATATCTTTCTACTGCAAAGGAGCATGATTCTTTTTGTGAAATTTATTCTTTATATCGAGGTTTTCACATATTGTTGGAGGTTTTTTATTTTTGTAACCCACAATACTCTGATTTTATTGGGGCAATGAAATGCTCTAGCATGACCACAGATATCTCATATATTTGGTACTTACAGGATGCAACAAGACACATATGACAGTAAACATTAATTGAAGATAGTTCAAGAATTTTCTGGGTGGGTATGTTTAAATAGATCAATAAAAAAAAAAGTGGGGTGGGGGCCACTAATAATAAAAACTATCGAATGATTTTTCTTCAAAATTTACAAATTTTAGTTTTATGGCCTTGTTTAATTACTCATTAGAAAAAGATTTTTTTGTAAGCAGTTTTTTTTTTTTTTTTTTTTTTTAATATAAGGAACTAGTGAAATAAGCATTTTTAATTATTTTTCTAATGACCCCTTTTTCCACTGCTTTAGAGCACCTAAAATTCATTAAAAATGCTTTGATTTTATTGTTAGATAGACAAAGGTAGGAAATAAAGCTGCATCCATCCATTCAGTCAGATTTATGCCAAAGGTATCCACTGTCATTTGACTGGCTTATATTTTACAATTATCTTTAGACACAAAAATGTCTATTTTCATGTACAATAAAATGATGGTATGTTGCTTTTAAAAAAATTATTTCTATATAGTGCTCGGGTAACACATGGCATTTAAATGAATATCACCCACTCATTAAAAAAACTATATTCCAAAAATGTGATAGAATTTGAATATTTACTTTGATAAAGTGGCGAACTAATTGAACACATTCTGCTTTTAGCATGTTATACTGGTTATGCAGATGAAATACATTTTAAACATGTTAGTATGCCATTTATTGAAAAGACTAAAATTTTAAATATTGCCCCCCCCACAAAAAAAAATTAAGAAAATGGTTTGATTGAAATCCTGTTGACATTCCTGTGTAGTATTTGCAAGCAAATGTTTCTTCTATTACATAGTTGATTTCCTTGTCATTTGTGAGTGATGCACAGAGGAATAGCTTTTTCTTCCTAACTTATCGGTTCTGATCATATTTAAAATTATATTAAATAAATAAGTTTTGTTTAGAGGAAATTTTTGAATTATTTTCTAAGAAGATTAATTATCTAAAAAATCTCTTGAATGAAACATTGTTGGGATTTATGTGCAAAATGTCCATTGTTTTCTATTGATGCTCTCTAGTGCATTGGAAAGGGATCTGTTGTTTCATCAGAAAGCCAAGTGCTTTGATTCTTAACTAGAGTATTTCTTATATCAATCTCTGTGGCAGTTGCTGTAGCAATTTAGGAGATAAGTGTCTTGCTCTGCCTGCAAATTGCTATTCTTAATCCCCCCTAATTTTTTGCTAACAACCACTTTGCATTTAAGCACTCAACGTTGCAATTAATGTTTCAAAATTTCCTGCATGTCAAATTGGAAAGATTTTTTTTTTTTTTTTTTTTTTTTTTTTAATTTTGTTTGCAGCTAATTTACAAAAGCACAATACTATTAAAGTATTTATGTATTTGTTGATGATTTTTATGATTAACAAAAATACCTTTTTCTCAAAAGAAAATAAGATTAACTTCTTCAAGAATTTCTATATTCTTGTTTCAATAGTATTATGTCTGGGATTTAAGTATCAAATTAAAGCCTTGCATTTTGGAACACAGGATTTTTTAAATTTTTTTTTTTTAATTCTTGATGTTATGTATATAGTGGACAAAATTCCTGAAATGGTCTATATTGAAAAATAAGATTAACTAAACAAAATGATTAAGTGTTTTGCATTCGTATTGGTGAAATAATGCACAAGATTATAATTGCTTTATTATTTGATTTGAAGTAAATGCTTTTAAGTAATAGGGCCCAATAAATTCAGTCAAAAGATTTGATTTTTATTCAAAAGTTTAATTTTTCCTAATGTCAGTTATTATTTCATGTGAAGTTTGTAGTGTAAGATTCAATGTTTATGCAATTAATAACAACTGCAAGTTTCTATATTTCTACCTTCAAAGAAAATCTGCAAATTTCCAACACTGCATGCATTTTTTTCTTCTCATCTTCAGTTCCTTTTATGAATTCTCCACTTTCAATGTCTTTTCATTTTTGCTTGTTTCCTTGCAACATTTTCAGACTTTTTCCCCTCTTTGGTTATTCAAAAGAATTTTTAACATTCTAGGACTCTTAGAAAAAAAGTACTTTTTGGTACAAATTTTTCAAGCATACCATTAGAAAAAAATGGAGTTTTAAGTTTGATTGAAATTTACCCATTTCTATTGAGGTTTTTTTTCCTTTATGTAAAGAAAATTAATACTAGATTTCTTAGATGATTTAGAAAAAGTTGGACTGAAAAATAAAATCCTGAACCAGTTGCTATTTCTGATTAGTGCTAGTACAATTTGCTTTGCATACACATTAGTCTTATGTTAACCAAATAATGACAACCAAAATTAATTATTTCTATGTATCCTTGTGCCTTTTGAAGCAGGGGTGCTTTCTGCCTTTATCAGCATCAATCAATATTTAATATTGAAAGTACCACTTTTGTCTTGTAATTTTTTAATGAAAATTTTGAATTTGTTATAACTTTATTTTTGACCCATCTCTTCATTTCTCAATATACTCTCATCACATTTAAATTTTTCTTTAATTTCATTTCCCACCTAGTATGTAGTAGGTTCAATTCTAGGTTAAAGTCGTATTTTAGCAAAACTTTAAACTTATATTAATTTTTCAAAAGATAAGTAGAAATTTTTTTGTTTTTCATATTCAACCTCAACATTGAGTCTGTAAAACTGCTCTGAAAGGAATTAGGCTTCACTTTGTTTTTATTTTATAAAATAAATTTTTACATTATTCATCCAAGTAATTGTCAGGTACCTTAAATCAGTAGAGGAGCATTTTTTTTTGGTGAAAATGTGTATACAAACATTTAATGTAGCATAGATTGCTAAAAAAAAAATAAAATAAAATAAAGAATTTTTTTTTTTTTTTTTACAGTAGGATATTAATATTGATGAATTTTTCAAATGCACTGAATAGATTTTCTAGGCATCCTTTAGTCAGAATTATAAACCTGGATAATTGTTAAGGATGCTTTATCAGACATTCCACTACTTGTGGGTATAGAAGTTTGCAATGATATTCAATCTCTCCTCTTCTTCTCCACAATAAATTTGTTTAAAAATTTAATTTCCATTGCTCATTTAGGTAGTAAATGAATGTAATGATATATATATATATATATATATATATATATATATATATATATATATATATATAATGACTTATTTTCCAGTTAATTAATTTTCAGGGTGTGTGTTTGTTTTTCTTTTCTTTTCTTACTTTTATTCCCCCTCTACACACTTGCTCTCTCAAACTCATTGTTTTATTTTACTTTTTTTTTTTTTTTTTTTTTACACCCCATACTTTAGTGTCTGGAACACGTCCAGTTTCCCGAGAGCGAGAAAAGCGCAGCAGTAGCCGTCTTCATCGAGGATTGCCCACAAGCACAGAGATTCCTCGTGACCAAGGACGGATGCCAAACAACCCTGTTCAGTCAAGTATGATTCCAATTGCACAAATAAATTCAGGACTTCGCCGTAGCAGTGCTTCCAAAGATGAGACTACAGGACGTTCAGCCTCTTCTCGGCACTTGCGAAAATGAAAAAAAAAAAAAAAAAAATACAGCAAAAAATATACCCAATGACAGAAAAATAAAAGATATATAATCAAACAAAAAACGAAAAAAAAAAAAACCCAAACAACAAAGCAAATGACACCCCTCAAAAACTGCTGTCAAGTGTGTGCATATGATCATTGTGTGTATGTGTGTGCGAAAGAGTTTATGTATGTGTGATTTTTTTTTTTTTTTTCCCCCCTCCTCTGCCTCTGGCTACCACACTGTCATCGTTGTCTTGTCCGTCTCCATGGTTAAGGAACGTTGGCACTGGTGGCCATGATTTTTGAGGCTATTCTACCTAAAGCTAAAACTAGCGCCGCTGCCACTTTTTTTTTTTTTTTTTTTTTTTTTATGGGACTGCTTGGATGTCGTCGCTATCATCTGCCGACTCCCCATCAAGGATGCTTCAAAAACTTCCATCATTATTATAGCCCCCTCTGCTCAAGGCACCAATTAATTATTACAATTGGCTTTTTCTTTCTTTCTTATATTTTTTTTTTTTTTTTTTTTTTTATTCCTGGGATGGACGGGGGAAAACTCTATTGTAAGGAAGGTTAGTCCTAATGGCTAGAGTTTCTCAAAAACCTAAACCTTGCCTAGTCTGAATCAAGTGAAAATAAAAACTGACAAGACCATCTATCTGAATATACACAGTTCATGCTTTTAAGTTAGTATTTTAACATGTTTAGTGTATACTTTTACCATTTTTGTTTTAAGACAAAAAAAAAAAAGCTGAGAGCAAGTTTGTTTTATAACCAAAAAAAATTAACTACTCCACGAGAGAATTAACTTTTAAACTCCCCTAATCCCCACACTGGGAAAGTCTCAAGTTTGTGCAGAGCTTCATCAATATGTGAAAATGCATCATTTGTAAATGAACTTGTTTTTCATGCCAGATTTTTCTAGTTTGGGAAAAAAAGTAAGAGAGAAAAATAACTGTCTATAATAGGATCCATTCCATTATGAATCTTCATCTCCCCCATTCTTATGGTAATGTTCATTTTTCTGCACAGTATCACTTTCCTTGTTAGTCCTATGCGACTTATACTTATTTTATTCCTTGGCTTTCATCGTAGATTAATCTCCCTTGTCTAATTTGTCAGCCCCATGAGCTCCCTACCAAGTATAGCACCTTAGTGGAGGATTAGCCACTTGTTTCTGCTTAGCCTTTCTTGAATGTTTTCTTGTCTGGCACTTCATTATGTCAGTCACTGCATCTTAATATATTGGAACTTTACTATTGTAGTACATCCCATTAACTGCTTATGATATTCTCTTAGGTTGAATGCCTTTTAGGATTTTCAGGACAAAATTTAACTTGTTACACATACAAGAGAGTTAAGGTATTGACAAAACCAAATTTTATTTTGAGGTCTAATAATTAATCTTTTAGTTTATTGGTACGTTATGTATTTTTGATTTTACAAGAGTTGAAATGTACATTAAGGAAAAAATTGCTTGGACTAAGACTTATACCTACAATACGTTCATCAGTTGTAGATAGGGGTGGGTCGGATTGGATATTTTTTTTTGCCAATGAGAATATTCAACAATTTTTTTATTTTTTATTTTTAAAGGTTAGGGAGTGTAAAATAAAGATAAAAAGGACTTTTCTGTTCTCTTTCCATTCATTTTTTCTTTTTAATGGCCAAATGTTTTCAACATAATTGGGGAATTAGAAACTTTTAGCATTTTACATTTATCACAATAAATGTAATAACATTTTTAATGGGGTACATATATTAACTCTATGCTGCTAAGTCTCTTCTGTTTGGTTGTGAGAGAATCCCACAAGGCAGTCTTCTCTTTTTGGATTCAATATGATACACAATCTTCTTATTGATTATTTCTAATTCACCTCATCTCATTTTCTTCCTTTTAAAGGCAGATTTTTCCATTCATCTCGTGTTTAGACAAATTTCCTTTTGTATATTTTTTTTTCTGGTACTTTTCCTTCATCTGCCCTTAAAAATAGGGAAGGAAGCACCAGCAGCATAGACCCTGGAATTGAATGTATCATTTGATCTTCCTCCTTTGCTATGCAAGAATACTCCAAAATATATGAAATAAATTAGGAAAAATTTAGTTTGATATAATTTCACTTTTTATTAGTTTTTAATGAAATGTAAACCTTGATACAATGTTAATTGTAATGGCATGAAAACAGATTCCAAGAATTTTTCCCTTCTTTCTCTTATGATTCCCATATTTCTTTATTTCAGGTGATAGGAAAGGTGATTAAGCATTGCATTGGCCATTTCCTTACCTTTTTGTATGTATAAATCTTCAACAATTAACTGCTTCTATGCAACACCAAAACATAACTTTCATCACTTCATAATTTTTCTGATGGGACCCAATGCTAGTTGATGCTTATTAAGTAACTCTTGAATCTTAAATTAATTCTTCAGAACTGCTCATATCTTTTTGTATGCCCTTCTCCCAATTTTTGACCCATGATCAGTATTTTTCCCCTCTTATATTTAATTTAAATAAATATTAAAAAAAAAAAAAAAACTTATAAAGCTATTTATGTACGATACGCAATGATTGTTACCAAATGAAAAGGCCTTTTTTTTTCTCTCTTAAGTTTTGTAAAGAACAAATATCAAGTAAATCAAATAAAGTTAAAATTACATACAAAATCCTCACAAGTACAACAGCATTGATCCTTTTCTGTGGTCAAGAATTCTTTTTTTTTTCTTTTTGTAAATAATACAATAATACCAGAGCATTACTTCCCTTCCAATTATGCAATTCTTTATTTCATTAGTCTTTGAATAGACATTTAAAGACTTATTTTTAAGGTCTCTCTTGTTGCCATTCCATATTTACCCACCCCCCTGTTTGCATCATTCATTTCTTTCTATCATTGTTTTTATTTTTTTTTTTTTTTTTTTTTTGTCATCAAAAATTCAATTCCCCAAATTTGAAACTTGTCATCCATTAACAGATAGAACAAAAGAAAAACTGAGAGGTGGGGCAGGGAGCATTCTCTCTGACATGCACATACATTGTGTGCATAACTTGAAATTGGTATTGTAGTTTGTATTTGTGAGTGAAGTAATATAGCTTGAAAATTTGTACAGAAACTCCAAATAATGCCTTATAATTAAGGCTGTTATTATTTGACACTCACTATTAACTTCGATTGATCAAAATTTGTAATGTTTATTCTATTCTCAACTCCCCTTAAGAATCAATCTCCTTTCTATTGGGGCAATTATGACAATCCAAACAAACGTGATGAATTGTTTTGGGGGAGTTAATGTAATTTATCTGGTTTAAATTGGAGGGTACTTGAAGATCACACTGAATAGTAAACATTCAAAAACAGCATTTACTAAGATCAAAAATCTATAAAAAAAAAAAACACACAACACACATGCTACCCAAATATTTGTACTAGTGTTGTATCCATAAAAAAGAAAAGGGGGTTTGTTTCATTGCCATTTCTCTCTTGAAGTAATTTTTTTTTTTTTTTTTTTTTTCCCCTCAATTTAATACATAAAGTTGGTGGTGTCTTAATTTTTTTTTATATATATATATATATATATATATATATATAAATTCAACTAATGCTCTGTCCTGTTAATAAAATTTGAGGAGTTTACCTTTAGTTGGAAAAGTCAAATGCAGTGAGATATATATTAATTTTTTTTTTTTTTTTAACTTGTCTCTTGTTAGTAAATATCATCTAAGAAGTAACTTGGGTCCTCTTTATTCTTAAAATTGAAGTCCTTGCCTGTACAAGATTTTAACTCCTTTTGTTCATGTGTACTTACTCTAAGGGATAAAAATAGACAGGTGTTTCTATCAAAAGATCTCTGCAAATTAATCATTACTAAGGCTTGTGAAGTGCCTGTAAATTATGCCTCTCTAATCTTGTGATCCCTTGGTCAATTAAGGTGCCACAGCAGTGCTCCACCCCTGTGGTATTTCTGTGTCTCTTGCTCCAGTTCTCAGTATTAAATACTTTGGTTAGTTTCCTCAAAAGACTTTTGCCTTAGAATCTTCCCTTTTCCTGGATGTAAATTTGACAAAATCCACTGCCAAAATCTCTTGAGTTCATGCCAAATTGCTTGGTCTGCCTTGACTTTTGGGGAAGATGAATTTGAACCCAGAAAAGGAAAAAAAAAAAAAAAGAAACCTCCTCATGGAGGAGAAAGTGGTGATAGCACTTTCACTAGCTGACCAAACCTAATGTAGGAAACTAACACACAAATTCCTTCTTGATATTCTATTGAAATGTTAACTTATGAATTACAGATGGTAATCACAATTTTTTCTTTTTAGAATAAGAAAAATGATTTTTGTGTATGTATGCGTATGATTGAGGGGGGGGGATAGTTTTGAATACAAACTCAGCACTTGTAATGTTAAATATGCAAATAGAATTGTTAAGTACTTGTTCCTTTTGGAATTGCCTGACTGTCAAATGAAATCTGCAAATGTTTTTCAATTAATTTTCGCTATTGTATCTTGGCTTGCTTCTCTTAAACATGTTGAACTTTTTTTTTTGTTCCCTACCCATCATGACACCTGTGACTTCTCACCTGATCAACAAAAAATCCATTTCATCTCAGGACTCAACCCAAGCTAAAATATTTTTGTCTTAAACATTTAATATCTACTTGTCTTCATAAAAAAAAAAAAAAAAAATTTTTTTTTTTTTTTTTTATAAGCATGTTGAAGAATTACTTTGCTGCAGATTGCTTCTGTATCATGCCTGAATGTCATCAGAAAGAGTAAGGATGAAAATTTTGTTTTCATGATTGTTGACATCAGTTTGTTCCCCCTCCCCCCACTCCTGATAATGTCATCCCATTTACTTGAATGTTTTTACCCATGAAAATGGGGAAAGAAAATCCTTTTTCTCTTAAATCCGGCCAATACAAATAAGGTTGAAGATTCAAACATTTCTCACTATTGTTTTGTTTTTCTTTTTACCGTTTTAATTTCTCTTAACTGCGAAGGTCCCAAATCTTGTGGCTGTCGACCTTCTTTCTTATTAATTATGATTAGCTTGCTTTAATTTCTGAAAATTTTAAGTATTACAAGTTCTCAATACAAAAGTAAACTTATTTATCTTTTCCCCAGTTTGAGGCAGATTTTAGCCTAACCTTTCCTCTTGTATACAACTTAAGTTTAATTTTACATTTATCATCTCCCTTCCTCAAAAATATTTGATGGGATAAGGGAAGATTTAAATTCCTTAAAAGATGACCATTACTGAAGAAATGATTGGGTATTACAGATTTACACAGGTTAATATCCAATTGTGTAACCATTAGAACCATAAATGCAATAGCTGGATCCCTAAATTGTTTTCATTACCACAGCCGGAGTCAATATTAATGAGGCATACAAAGTGATGGAAGATTTAAAGAAATGGGTGGGGGGGAGTAACAAGACAGGTTCTAAACAAAACGTAAAGAATGGAGTTTTGCTTTTTATTAATCTGAATCTCTACCAAGCCGACAAACCTCTTCACAATTTTTATTTTATTTTGCCAACTGAAAGATTTAATCAAGATTGTCACTTTTTTTCTTTTGTGAGGGTAGTGATGTAATCTAATTTCTCTAGCAAAAGAGAGAAGTAGGCTGGAGCCCAACAAGATTAGTGTCATTTGAACTTCAGTCAAGTACTAGTACTGAATTAAAGTAGGTTCAATTGCTGTTAATGCTAACTAGGGAGCAGCGGGGAGACAGTTATATTTTTATTTATTTATTTTTGTTTTTTTTTTAAAAAATACCATCTACAGCAGTTCCAGAACGGTGGTGTCTTGTCAATTTCTCAGAAATTCCTAACAGAATACAATGGGGATAATTTTTGAGGCACAGAGGTCAGAAATCCAGTTATCTGATATTAAGAAGTCAACGATGCAGGGAGGTGAGTTGCCCAGAGTTTGTTGAATTCCAAAGTCTTCAACCAATTCCTTTTCCCCATGAAGTTGGGCAACAAGTGAAATCATGTCACCAAAGCAAAAAAGTAGGTAGAATGTTAATCAATAAAACCCTCCAGCTTGGCTCTATTGATTAGAACAGGATTGTAAGCTAAAAGGTGAACAAATTCTAAAGAAATGTCAAGTGGGAGTTCAGGTTCCTGATATGTGAAGAGGTTGCAACATTGGCAGAATTAGATGATGGCCACAAGGTCCAAAGTTTAGGAGAGAAAGGAATAAATTAACATGGAAAATATTCTCTCATTTCTCTGCCAGGCAGAGACATGAATGAAACAAGATACAAAATGAAAAAAACTCAATAAAAATCCAAACTATTTTTCTTATTTGCTTTTCTTTTTCTCTTTCATTCATAATTTTCATTCAATTAAATTCATTCAGTCAAACCAATTCAGGTTTTTTTTTTTTTTTTAATCTTTCCACAAAAGAAAGACTGCACAAGTTGAAGATTTTCATCACAGAAGAGAAATGACCCACTGGCAGCAAAATGGAAATGGTCCACTGTTGCTTTGCATGCAAATGACACAATTTATGGTGCATTAGCATTGCTGTAAAAATTATTTTGAAAGATCCCTGATACCAGGAAGAAGCAGTACGAGTTTTATTCCTCCCAGCACTGATAAAAAATAAATAAAATTATAACCAAATTTTAATCTTTATCTTTCATCAACAGTTGCTTCTTTTACTCATTGGTGCCATTCAGAAAAATGTTTTAACCAGTTGACTGAAAAGGCTTTGAAGAATCCATGACAAGTTCTGAGAGGATTGGATGGGACCCTAAGAAAGAGTGCACAATAAAAAAAAATTGCCTCAAAAGTGGCATCTCAGAAGTGAAGGCAGGCAGTAGGATGAGGGTTTTTGTTTTTTTTTTTTTTTCCTCCTTTGGTTGGCTTCCTTGCCTCTACCAGAAAACAAGTGTTTATATATATATATATATATATATATATATATATATATATATATATATATATATATATATATATATATATATATTTACCCCTTGGATATCTTGGAGTGCTTGACTGTTTAGTGGATATGGGGCAGGTATAAAAAATTTTTACTCGATCTGTAACCAGGTGATGATTGTAGGTTTTGGCTGGTAAATAAATAAGCACACAATATAAATGATGCTTTAATTAACTGATTTATCCACAGCTTGTGACCCCTGCTGTTGGTTCACATTTCACCCCAATTCCCTAGATTGTCTCTGACATCAAAACAACTGAAGACAATTTTAGTTGAGGGGGATCAAAATAAAAAAATTCTTGCTTTTAATTTTTCTTATTCCACTCATTTCGGCCACAAACTTTTTTCCTTGGAGTTAATGTTGACATGCCAAATAGTCACCTGCTATGCCAATGCATGACTTCTCAATTGTCGGGTAGATTTCTTTTCTTCCATTCTTTCTACAGAGCAGAACATTAATAGATTCTCTCGTAAAAAAGGAGGTAGGCCTGTGCATTCTTCACAGCCGTTTCAGAAACTTCTCGAACATGACTGTCACTGATGTGGTACCATTTGCCTGAGGGTACCAGATTATCTACATCAACTTCGGGTTCCACTTTCTCATTGCTGCTACCTGACAGCAGTAATGTACGGTACCTAAGAATATATTCCTTGGGATCAAGTTGACTTTCAGAAAGGAAATTGTTTGGCTTGTTGATGTTGTTTTTGCACACCTTGACATAGGCTGTGTAATGGCCACCTGATAAGCGACCGTTGTGCTCAACAATTCCATACAAAGAGTACAGCACATTCTTCTGGCCTTTCTTCACAGACTAAAAAACAAAAATAAATTGGATTATTTGTAAACACATCAACTGATATTCTTAAAAAGAAAAGAAAAACAAAGCTAATTATTTGTAAATTGTTATGAGTGTCCATTCATCTCTTATATAAGCTAATTAGCAATAAGAAACTCCAATGATTTGCTTGAGATTAAGAAATCAAATCCCTTGATAATCATGCAAGAATTAGAATTTGGGGGAAACAGAAGAAATATAAACAATTGCACCAATTAAAATAAAATCTATAAAAGAGGGGAAAATAAGTTTCAGTTTAAATCTGTTCCAAAGAATTAAATTGTACTCTTGTATTTCTATGTTGATTCCACAGCATTTTGGTCAATCCATTCTACAGCCTTCAGCTGCAAAATCCAAGATCATTTTATTTAAGAAAAAAAAAAAAAATGACAAAATAATTGTTAATATAGTCACTGGATTAGTTCATTCCAGTAGTATGAAACGATACTGTCCACCACCACTGCATACATACATAACTTGGATGATTTATACAAAGGAGTCTTCCAAAACTACCAATCTGTGTAAAGAAAATCATAGCACACTGACTGGCTGGACATATGTTGAAAAGCCGAAATCTGAATTTTCTCACTCTCCAGTGATTGTTAACCATCTCAGCTTAATGAGTCTACTATACCAATTTTTCCTCAATTCCCAAGTCTAATTTTAAAAAGACAGATGATTTCTCTCTCAAACTGTTTACCACATTTATATGGATGTTATAAATGCAATTTTCTGTTAAAGTCTTCTCTAAGGGTTTAATTTTATTAAAGCAGTTTATACTATTGAAGATTATAATACAACATTCATCAGCTGCACCCTTTTTTCTTTTTTAAATAATTTTACCCCAAACAAGGTGATACAGACACAAGAGGTAGTTACTAAATGTGAAAGCATCTGGGGGGAAAAAACATTAAGAAGAGAGGTCAATAAAAGAACAAAAATTAAGGAGACAGATGACAATTGCAATTGTATTTAAATATTTGTAGATCAAAGTTGACTGGAAAATAAGCCAAAAGAGAGTTCCACAAGTGAGAAGTGCAAGAGAAGAAAATGTTAGCATAGATCTTATGGTTACATCTAGAAATTACAACTGTAAAATGAGACCTAGCTGCCAGTCTAGTACTCCACATAAATTTGTAAAGTTGAAGTACCAAAGAGGAAAGCTCATCAGAACGATTACCATGAAAATATAGAAATTGCATATATATATATATATATATACTCTGTTGGGAACACTGAAGTTCATCTTCCTCCTCTCATCTTGGAAACACCAAAAAACAAAAAGTTATGTTGGAGGCTGCTATTTATATCTTATTTCTTTCAACATTGCAGGATTACTGCTGATGACCTTTGCCCAATGTTGAAGGCAATAAAACTAAAACTTTCTTAACAGTGGCTTAGGGTAAAAATTCAAATAACTTTTGTATTAGTTTTTGGTACTACTTAAAAAAACTGATCCATTCATAAAAAAATAAAGAAAATCTTTTCAGGGAATAATTTTTGTTGATTAGTATTTAGACATTCCTCAAGCCATGACATTTGTCAGGATAAAAAATTGATTTTCATATCTTTTTAGAAGAGAGTCTTGTTCATAATATCAATACAGTGTAAAATCGATCCCTGACTTTTTAGAGTTATTGTTACTTACAAATATCAGGTTTGAAACTGCTTACATCTTTGATATCTACAATTCTTATATTTTCTGAATTTTAAGAACTTTTTGAGGGGGGATTTTTTTCAAAAGCACATGCAGAAACATTGTGGGATAATTATTTATTTTGAAGAATAAATGGATATACTTTTATTTGTTTATGTAATTTTTTGTTTAATTAAGCATGTATATATCAGTTCTTTATTTAAAAAAACAAAAATAGAAGTAAAACAGCTAAGTTCAATAAATCTGTAAAACATTGGATCAATTTTACATTACAAGCCTCTCCTAAAAATTTTTTAAAATTACTATTTTTCGATTCTGTCAAGTTTCGTGGCCTAAGAAAGGTGGAAAAAAATACAATGCACAAAAAAATATTGCACCAAAAATATTCCCTTTCATTTTTTTTTTTTGAAGGAGTAAACCAGTCTAAGTAGCATCTCTTTTTTGTCCATGTTAGTCTTTTATCCAACCTTTGTATGGATTATCAGGACAGACATTAAAACTGTGCTATTTTGTCTTCCTCCTCTGTAAACTATAGATGCACTCAGAGTTCCTATGATCCAACAAGACCCGTATCTCAGCTACACTTGTTTTTTGCAGAAATATTTTAAATAAACGAGCTAAATTAACAGCTCAATTTGATCCTTTCTATTTTAACACTCTTTTATAAAAGGGAATTTGGAAACTAAGGAAAATGAATTATTGCTTTCAATCTCAACAAACTGAAGCTCAATCAACTTTAAACCTTTCTCTAAAATTCAACTTCAAGTTTGTTTCACTCTTCTCAACACAACTTCCTTAACATCAGTGCTAAAAAATTCTTGGCCGAACCCATTTTCAAAAATCTAACAAAACAACCAAGCATTAGAACTTTAAGAGGAATCTTGGTTGGGCCTAGTACTTTTCAGTAACCTCTCACAAAAATAAAGCCTAAAAGTGAAATAAATAAGTTATTTTCATCAATTCTGATAGAAAATGATTTTTTTTTTAAATGTCAGATTAAAGACAAAGATGAAGAAAAAAGAAATGAACAAATATTTGGCAACTGCTAGGGTCAAACAAATTTTGAAGCAACTGGCCAACACTGATATTTCAGGCAAGAGATATCTGAAAGATTTGTAGGTTTTTTTTCCTGATTACATTGAATCTATGCCAAGAGTGTCTTGATATTTGCTGAGAAAGTGCTGCACAAATGGACAGGCTCATGTTTTCTTTGAGAACTCAACATTTAACCCAACATATATTTCTATGGTTACATTTTTATAAGAAACAGGAAATATGACAAAAAATGACCCTTTAGAAACACTTCTTACCTGACTCAAGGCGCTACAGAAAGGGGCAATGTCCAAAACAAAAGGAAAATCCACATGACGATTGACTTTTCGTGAACTGAAACCAATCTGGGAAAAAAATAGATAAAAGTGGTTTTACCGAAAGGCAGTGACCAAATTAAAAACAGTTTCATAAAATATTTTATTAAAATTTCTATTGTTAACCTACCTGACATTGCAGGAAATAGAGTAACAACATAGCATTACCATATTTTCTTGTGTGTAATGCAAGAAAATTCAAACAGAAATTAAATGCAAACAAATGGGGTCATATTATACACAAGTACACATTTTTAGAAATTAATACTCAACTTAAAAACCTTATTTAAATCTACACTCAGCATAATAGATAACAAAAGAGAGTAGGCAGGTGTTGATAACAATTGTGTACAAAAGGTATTTGATATGTTGATAATATTTGATCCTATCTTCATTCTTAATAAATGACAATATTTTATTTTCATAGTTTATTAATATATAGCAATATAATAAAGTCATATCAAACAGAAATGTATGACAGATTAATTAACACCTTAAAATGTAATACTGGGTAAGTCTTGTTAGCAACTTCCCTGGAAAATCTGAAAATAAGTTTTGAAATGTAGATTAGAAGAAACATGCAATAGCTAAACATCTGGTTCATTTCTATTGTTTACTTTTGTGAAAAATTAAATATTTTAATGAAATATATGTACGATATTGAGATTTTAATGGATAATATGGTACAACTTTTAAAAACAGATTTACATAGGGTACTATTTGACCATATTAAACTTAAGGATGTAATTTATTATTCCCCATTTTTAGTTTCAGAAACCTGGAGGTCGTATTATACACAAGAAAATATATGTCAGATTTAATTATGCAAGTAAATGTTTGCATAATAAATGTGGTATTAACCAATATTGGCAACATTTTCAAGATATATTTATATGATAAATATACTTTGCAAATTTCAGTATGTTTTTGTTAGAAATAATTAGAATAAATTATTCAATGGTATGATATTTTATACGACTAAATATATATAACAGTATAGCTATTGGTTTTTATTGTTTAATTTAAGGTATATAAACATTGCTTTGGATTGTAAGAAAAATATAATTTCAAAAGAGAAACAAAATATTGTAAAGTTATTGAGTAATGGAAATAATGTTGGAAACAGTAAAGAAAGAAAAAATAGGAACACAGAAAAAAAATGTGTTTAAGAATGTCACAAAAAGAGATAGGAGAAAAATTAAAGGGAAAAAGACTGACTAGAAAAAAAATGTGAAGAAAAAAATATGCAGAATATTGAGAAAACCAACTAAAGATATGAAAGCAATCAAACTACCACCTCACAAAGAGAAACATGCAAATTAGCAAAGAAGTATGTGAAAACTGATTTCTCAACAGTTATTTTTAATGATGAATATAGTGCTACATTGACTGGACATGGTGGCTGAGCTAAATTCCTCATGGAAATATTCAACCAATATGGCTCAAAGGAAACCAGGGGAGGAATTATAGTAATATTTGGGGTTAGTATCAGAAAAAGTAAAATGAAAAATCCCTTCAAAGTGTGTGATGGTTCGGATAAATACAAAGAATTACTTTAACTTCTTAGACAAGGCTATTTTTCAGATGGTACCAAGAAACTTTAAACTAAAAAGTATATTCAAATCAGAATGTTATTTCACATTCTGTAAAGTTGACTATTGCCCATGTTGCCAAGAAAGATTTTAAATACACCAAACTAATGGAATTAATGTCCAGCCTCGTCAGATATCAATCCAACAACAAACTTGTGATTCATCATTAAGAGAATTATGCGAGAACAGTAAACAATATTTAAGCAAATAACATCTGTGAATGAAGCAATAAAAAAAATACTATGGCAAATAATGCTAAAATTGAAATACAAAAGTTAACTAAATCAGTGGTTGGAAGACTGATAAAGGTTATATACATGGTGCGGCATAAATGCCTCCCACATTAATTAAGACATTAGTGGTAATGGTATCTTCATTTAGCTGATGTCTTACCATTATGTGGGAGGTATTCCTGCTGCACCCTGTAATGTAAAGTTCATATTAACATGTAAAAATAATAATTTATTCAGGTATATGGGATATTGTGTTAATCAAATATATACTTCTATAGTATGTGTCTTTTGGATTCATTTATAGATAAATATTCACGCTGCACTTGGTTTGTACAGGATATGACAGAAATACCTCCAATATAATAAGACAGTGTGTGTTTTGTTTAGAGTTAATGCAATTTTATCCAAAATTCTGAAGAAATTAAAAATGAAACAAGTTATTTTGTGGTGTTATTTCAAGAAAAGAAGAATTCAGAAATATTTTCTGGCAATTATCAAAGTTCATTCAGCCATTTTGTTGCTTTTCTTTCAAATCAATCTTGGCATGTGCTCTTATGTATTTCAGAGTTACATTGGCTATTGGCATTAAGACATCACTTTTAGAGCTGGATTCCATTAAAAGGTAACATTTATAAAATATTCAATGAGGAACAAACTCACTTTATTAACATCATTTGTTGCATATTTTCATATTAATTTATGACACTTTAAAATTATTTTCATTATGTCACTTTTTCATATACAAATCTATTTATTGTATAATAAAAATGTAAACAAAATTAAAAATAAAGTTCTTTATTTTAACCACAAATAACACAAATTCTGTTGATTTTATGATCATAGTTCTTATATGAATATTAATCAACATTCAAAGAGCTTTCTAAAGATATACAACTTGACCATATTGGGAGATATTAAAATGTTAGCATATAGCGGCAAATACCAAAATCTGCCATTTTGAATTTGCCCCAATTCAGTAAAACCCTCGTAACTCAGGCCACAGTCAAAAGTCCACCACAAAATTATGTACATATCTTGACATAAAGCAGATAAATTTGTTGTTAAATTTAACAAAAAAATACACTTTTTGAGAAATTAAAGGTTAAAGGTTAAAGTCAAAGTCAAATTATCTTATTTGACCTTTAAACAAAAAAATAAATAGATCAACTTTGAGATCTATCCAAGTTATTTAAAATGGTCTATAATTTAGCTTTGTAGGTGAAAAAGCAACTGAGATATTAATTTAAACTTTGTGACCATTTTTCAAAATTCACCTTTTTGGCAAAGGTGAAAGGGTCATATCTTGGGAACACTTTGACAAAGAGATGTGAAATATGAAGCTCTATAAGTGTGCCAAATTTGAAGAAAATCTGTGTTAGTGATGGTCAGATCCTTGTTGATTTGACATGGAATGACCCAAACACTAATTTACAAAAGCAAAGAAAGGCAAATAGTGAAGACAAATGAATTATTGCAGTGTATATAAGAAACAAACACACATGTATTAAAAGCAGAATGCACAAGCAAACATATATTGACTGCTTTTTAAGATAATCACCTGTTCAAATCTCTTGAGATGAAGAGTGAGTATGGCAGGTGGTCGGAATATCAGAAATTGTTTACTGGCATTAGTGTATACCACCTCTTTTTCTGCTGCTGCTGAAATAAAGGGAGAAAGAATTTCATTTAATAAAAATAAATAAACAAATATAAAAAGCAACCCACTTAGATTGAATCAGAATTGTTGCAGTAGGAATGAACCTGTACTCTCATGAAAAGATTTAGGCAAAAAGGAACAGAAATTTTCATTGCTGTATGCAAATCTCAAGTCATTAAGTTTTTCTATTTCACTGAAGCAGATGGTAAACACATGACAGTATTATCACCTTCTCTGTCCTCTTTCTTATTCTCAATGAAACCAAACAGTACCTCCAATATATCTTTTCTGTATTTCCTCACAATCAAAACAGAAAAGTCCAATTTTTATGAGGTATTGGTAGGCTGTAACCTAAGTGCTAAAGAAGAAGCAAAATTATAATATGATGATGATAACTCTTCTCCCTCAAAAATTTTTTAATCTTTTAAAATTCTTTGTCAAGATTCTTTATAAGTGAGGCTCAGTTGCCTAACAACTAAAAAAAAACAAAATATTTTAAAGATTTTACAAGCATCAAAATATGACACAGCCACAGGAAGATTCATTTAAAAGAATTCATCAAGTTGAAATATTTGCATATTTTTATATTACTATCTCCTTTGGAAATTTTTTCAATATAAAAAATTAAAAAAAAATTGTTATGTAGTAAATTTATAGTATATCTAATTTTCAATTTTGTAAAATAAAAATGAAAGGGACTGATTGAGTTCACCATGAAAATCTGAAACAAAATGTGAAATCTGCTTCTAAAAGTTTTCAAGGCACGTTTTCACATCAATATAATTGATTGATATAAAAAAATTGGTAACATCCATCTGCAGGCCTTAACTTGAATATGGATTCTTTGGGCTCTAGATTAACATTTTTCATCATCTCTGTACCAACTACAAAAAAAAAAATTTTGCCACAAAATTTTTAAATTGTGCTATCCTTTATAGTTGCTAATAACATTTTTCAAAAGTAAATTGAAAAAGCTAAAATATTCAAGTTTTAAAAATAAACAAATACAAAAATAAATTAAATTTTACTGTAATTTTTAGAAAAATCATTTTTTTTATTTAACTGTTTCAGTTAAATGACTTTGATTAATTTTATATGGAAATGTTTTTAATTTTTATGTTCAGTAAAAATAATCAAAAAAGTTTTTAAAGTCTTTATCAAATTTTTCTCTTATAATTATCTACCTCACATCATGACTAAAGTTTGCTTGTTTATCATTTTTTAAATTCTTCCCAGTATAGGCAGAAAATAATACTGTTTATGGTTCAGTATTTTTAAGGAAGATATTAACAGAAACAATATATCATTGCTTTGTTTATTACAGAAAAATCAGTTCTTTCAATTAGATACTGTTTTTCACTTAGAGATAAATAATACAAATATCTAAATTTAAGTCCTTTAACCTTTTTTCATTTTGATTTCATTCACTAGTTTAAAAAAAAAAGCACTTAAAATTTGTCTATTTTTTTGTGTATGTTTTGCTCCACTTTTGAAAAAGCCTGCCATTATTAATAAGAAAGATATTTTATTTTAATAAATTAGTTGCTTTTAGAATAGGGAAAATAAAATCTTAAAAAATTTTTAAATCATCCTGTCCACCCTGCCAAAAAAATAAAAACAAAAAAAATACTAAAGTCATCCTAAATTAATTGTAACTTGTACGACATGGCCCCACTTGAGAAACTGACTTTGTGGGATACTGATGATATCAACATCCAGGATTAGCCAGATGTGGTGTTTATACCATTATTCATTTATGCGGGTGTTGGTTGAGTGATGATTGTCACATTTTGATTCATTCATTTTCTATGATTTATCAACCCTTTGCAGGTTATTTAAAGCCAAAAAATATTTTTAGATTGTAAGAATATTTGTGAGAAGATAATAATGGTTTAGTAATACAAGTCTTACTAATTAACTCATAGCTGGAGGGAGAAGAGATGGTATTTGCACATGTGAATATAACGAACCCAATGGGAATTGGTACTTGGCTCTCCGAATGGCAATTCTGAGCCATTATCCATTACACCACCCACACATCCAAGCTTATAACTCTTTGTATTCCTATGCAGTTACTCATCTAGGTACTGCCCAGTCTAAATGTTGCTTAACTTCATTGATCATACAGGAACCAATGTTTCGATGTGATATGGCCATAAGCCTGTCACATTTTTATTGTTTTGTAATTCTGTAAAAATTTATTTGCTGTTTTTGTACATATACCTGAATTTATTTTTGTTTTCTTGTTGTACTCTATTTCCTTTTATTTCATCCATGTATATGGGGGCATAGTGAGAGAGATTAATAAGTCAGAAGTCACACATGATAATAATTTAAAATACATATTACTATGTATTTTGAAAAAGGGAGGTAATGTTACAGATGTGAAAGCTGACCCAAGATGGCACACTACTGGTCAGAAGATTCCATGGGTATGGAATTCTAACAGCAAAAATATTACCTTTGTCTAAGTTTTGGATATAAGACCAAAACAGTGTGAAGACAGCTGGCCACAAGAATTTTGAAGAGTCAACACACTTCCTACACCCAAGTTCCTTAGTGAGACTAACTAGTGTGTGCTGAAATGTTAAGCTAAGGAGTTGGCATGCATTCCCCTAATGATCTCCTAGAATTGGTGCTACTACAAATTTCTCCTAGAATTGGTGCTACTACGAATTTCTTTCTTATATAATAAAGTAAATATGAAAACTTTCTTTGTTGATACAGTTTATGATGTTGCATTTGGGTCTGAAGATCTGAAGCCAGTGGTGACACAGAACTCAAGATAATTTTCTGTTGTCTCCAGGCCAACAGGACAATATTAATCACAAGCCTGGGAACGGCAACATTTTCAAATTGAACCAGCTAGAAACAACCCACACAAGTGGCACTTTTCAACCCTTGGTTGCTACATAAAATTAAAAAAAAAAAATCTATCTTGAAAATACACTTACCATTGTTAGAAGAATTTTTGGCTTTCCTACGAGTACAGTTTTTACAGCGCACTTTGTTATTACCCATCAATAGTTCTGCTGACGTGAATTGGTGGAGACATGACATAATGGAACATTCTCTTGAAGATGGCTGGTAGCGTGGGGAGAGGGTTGACATGGACTTGGCTTGAGCCTGTCGCTTTATGGTACTCATGTTGATGTACTCCTTCTCGTCCACGTCATCGATGTCTTCCTCCTCAGGGTGGGCCAGTGGTGGACCATGGCTACAGTTGGACAACAATTGGGCAACCCTAATCGACGAAGACGAAGATGACTTGCTGGCCATCACTGGACCTTGTCCTTCTCCTGAATGGTTGGCAAAAGCAGAGCCATTGTTTATGGGCATCTCTTCACTCGCATCATTTGTCTCCTTTCCTGGGAGTTCAGTTACAATCTCGGCACTCTGCTCGCTGCCATCAGTCTCATTGCATTTGGAAACTGACTCAGAAGCTTCAATGGCTCCTTTTTCTAGACCCTCACTTGAACAGGCCATGTGCAGTAATGGAGCAATCCCATTTGTCTCAGCTGCAACAAAAGAACCAGACTGTTCTTCAGATTGTTCTTCAGATTTCTTTTGGGGACAGTCCTGTTCTGATCTGTTGCTGTCCTGTATTTTGTCACCTGTTGGGCAACTCTTGCTATCCTCCTCAGAATTACTGGCTGTCTTTTTGTCCGTCAATTGCAGGCACTCAAAACGATTGGTCAGTTGGTTAAGTTCCTTGTGGAGTCCATCCGTACTACCATTGGAGTCCATTTTCAGGCTGTTCTGGGAGGCAACTTTTGAGGGCATCTTGGAATCATTAGTGAGTAGAGTGGAATCTGTTTTACCAACTTCTTTCTTATTTTCTTCTTTCATACTGTGGTGGTTCATATTTGTTTCATTTGACTTTTTATTCGATGGAGTCACTTCATTCTCTACATTGTCTTCTATATCAGCATCTGCAAAAAAATAAAAATATAGAAAAAATATTTACTGAAGAAAACAAACCAAATTACATTCAAGTTTAATTCAACAGACATTTTCATATGGAACTGCTTTGCTCTCTAAAACTTCTTGAACATTGCAACATGAAAGAATTTTTAAATTGGCCAAGTCTATATAGAAATTAAATTATGTCAAAACTTTAGAATAATAAAATAGATGATAGAAGACAAACAAAAGAAAAAGAAAATTATGTAAGATTGGAAGTGAATTTTAAAGTCATTTATTAGAAAAACATGAAAGAAAAAGAACAAAGTAAGTTTGCCAATTCAAAAACAAATTCAATTTGTTTTATTTTTTTCTTTTACCACATGACCAATTTTCTTTTTTATCTTGAATTTATGTAAATGGTTTATTTGATTTTCATTTAACTTGTTGTTGTTCTGTTACACAGTACAGAAACCATATTTGCTTATTTCACTTTTGTTTTTGTCCCTATTTTAGGTTAGGCACTTTTTAGATTTGTCACCATTTTGACCACTTCTGGTTAGACTTCAGCATGAGGAACTCGACTCAATAAAGGCATCACACTAAGCACATGGTTGATAGTTTATCCTCCTGATTTCACCCTTTTGGTTCTTAATAAACATGCTGATATAAGCGACTTTGTCTTCTTCAGAGTTTTAATTGCCTTAATGTCTAGCTGTCTTTGAGACTACGGATATGTACTCTGAGGAGCATTTGTATTTAGAATTCTTCAACAATTCATTTTTTATCAAATTTTAACTAGAGGATAAAATGACAAAAACAAAAATAAAACATTGTGGTATTACTTATAATAATACCTGATGTGTCTACAATCTCATTGCATGTTGGAATCTCTTCAGTTTTGTGTGTTTCTTTTTCATTCTCCATTTCTTCTTCATCTTCATCCTGACGAGCTTTCCACTAAAAAAAGGAAAGAAAATAATTATGCTACATAACTCATGGTTTGGCCAATTTTATATGTTCAAAATCTTCACAGATTTCATAATATTTGAAGGTGCTCAGTTTGATCTTGTGTCATGCTGCCCAATGGATGATGCAATTAAATATGGCAAAACAAATGTTAACATCTAAAGGTTGAATAAAATGCTATTTGATTCTCCAAAGTGAAAATTTAAATGGCAGAATATATCATCCAAACTGAGAGCACATCATTAACAGTGTTTTATATAAATTCTAAATATGAAGAGAATTATTTGACCCAATTCATCAAATCAAAGTATACTTTACAAATATTATCCATGATAGTAAAAGTTAAACATTCCTTGAGAACACTGAGAATCCACAAATATATCTTTGACTTGACAATGATTGATGATTGTTATCAACAAGCTAATGTAAAAGTAATAAATGGAAATCAGGGAACATAAGAACAAGTCACAAGAACTTTTTTTGTGTACATAATCTGTAACAACTGACACAAGGTCTGGGAAGAAGAAAGCAACAAATATCATGATAAAAGGAAGAAGGAAAATATGCGTGGCTTACCTTAGCAACTTTTTTGGCCATACGTTTCTGTTTGCGTTCAGCTGCTGGATGCTTCACTTTTTCTTCAGTGACAGGTAAAGAAAGATCGAGGAATGGCTCAAAGATTTGTGACATCTGGCAAGAAATGAGGAACTATTTGCATGATCTGTACACAACTTGTCATGAGTCATTTGTAAAGCAAAAGTATTTAAAAAGAATAACATTCAAATTATTTTGAATTTTAGAAAATCCTGAATCCTAAATTTATATTCAGGTCAATAATATATGCCAATATAAAGTATCAAATATGAAAATGTGGGATTGAACTTTGCTTCCATCTATTTAAATACCTGGTTGTACCTGTGTCAATCTTACTTCTGTTTTTAATCTCTCAAAAAAGGCAGCTTATTTGGTAAATAGATAAAATGTTACACTAGAATACTCATTTTGCATGCAATTATGCATGAAAATCAAAGACCAAAGCCATGAATGTTGCTTCAATTTAGAGTTAAGTTTTTCTTTTTTACATATCTGTTTTTTTTTAGCAAAGGTGTTTTCAATTCCACAAGTTCAAGAGGGAAGAATATGTTGCCTCAATCTTTTAGGTTCTAATATGTTTAATACTTTTTGGCTAAGATTAAACCTGGAAACTTTGTGTGTATATATAAAACACAATTATTACCAATAACTCAGGACCTCAAAAATCTTTATATATATATATATATATATATATATTACACACACATACACACACATATATATATATATATATATATTATATATACACACAAGTTGGAAAACTATCAATGCCCATGTATTGAATGAAATATTGCTTGAAAAAAGCAGATATCATACATTTTTAATGTTAAACCCTTCTATAGAAATGAAAAAAATAATGTGAACCATAACATTCTGTCAATCTTAAACATTTTCTGAATGAGGAAACTGGAGGAATTTTCTTATAACATCCAAAAATAAAAAATAAAAAAAATAAAATCCAAACAAGGTTTGATAAAAATAAAAATTTAATCGTAAAATTAATGAAAAATGACTTCTATAAGCTTGTTTTCAAGGATTAATTTAAATCAAAATTACAACAGGTCCAAATAAATTGTATTGAAATCTTCACTGGGTGATGCTGATTCAGAACATATTTGGTTTTATAGGTCATTTTCTGAGAAAATACTGAACACAGAGACAATTCAGATTTATACTTGTTATAGAAATTACACAAAGAAGAAAATTACTGGAGTAGACATATTTTTTACTCATTAATCTTTGAATATTAACATTCAAATTCATGGTTATTGAATGAAAAAAACTTTTTCATTAAAAACAAACTTAAGTAAGCAATAAATAATTTAAAAAATATTTTCTTTCTGAAGTGAATCTTTTTAAAGAATGTATCCTTAGCAAAATGAACTGACAATAATCCTTCAAGTTAGTTTTAGATGAAACAAATTTAGCAGTAATTAAAATCCAAACTTTGCAGTATATTATGTTGATGCTTTTCCAAACTGATGCTTATGCATTAAAAAAATTGAATTAAATTTAGAAAAAAAGATTTAACAAGTAGAAACTTACGTGTTGGCATACTTCACATGAAACTGTGCTGATCAAATGCCCTCCAAATAATCGATCAATGAATGTATGCTTTGCTTGACGGCCGTATTCTGAAACAAGGGGAGATAAATACGGCCATGATTTAAAAAGAAAAATGAATTGTTAAAAGTTAATTGGCATTTCCAAAGAATTATCCAACAGTCACTGGTATAACTTTAGTCAATGAGATCTTAATATTTACTGAACCTTGTTTTTGTTTTATACTAGCTTAAATAACAGAAATACATAATGTAAAAAAAAAGAAAAGAAAAAAATAAACAATTATTTGCTACTAATTTCAGTCACTATTTCACAAAACTTCAAAATCATTTTTTCAATGTTACAACAAAGTGTCTACTGCAGCATTATGACAAGCAAGCTGATCTCAAAGATTAATTCACGTGTGTGAAAAGCTTCATCTTCATTTATTGCCTACTATGGCCTTGTACCAGACTAAGCTTAGTAAATTATAACTAGGCTGGCTTATTGGATTAGATATACAATAAAAGCATCTTTGTTTCTGGTATCATTGGTCTTTGAATGTTTATTTTCAAAGCAGGCAGGATCTCATTATTCAGAAGACTGGTGCAGCACAATCTTCTAATTCTTATTTAGCCTTATACCAAACTAAAAGATATCAAATATGATGATTAATAAAATTGAACTTTCAACACCTCCATTACACCATTTGTTTTAGGTCTGAAAAGAATAATCAAAACACTTGTCACTTAGCAGTTATTTTACTATGAACAAGATTGTCCTTATGTTATCTTTTAGACAAAGAAATTGCATAAGTCTTTAAACATCATAACTTATTGACACTTTATTTTTTTAAGAAAAACTTACCTTTTATTTTTGTTTTGGTTTTGTTGTCTACTTTGTTAGGATTAGTGTTCTCTGATAATTTAAAATGTCGTAAAATACCAGTCCGTGCTCGCTACAAGAAACAAACAGGTTACAAATAAACTGTAATCAAATAAAACTAAAATCAACAATATCATTCACAAACAATAAAAGTGTTTTGTCTTTTTTTTTTTTTAGGATACCACACTTCGACATCTGCACTTATGTTTAATTCATCTAATTTTTTTTAACCATTGTCTTAATTGTTGTTGGTATTAACATGTTTTAGCCACTGTATTGTGTTGAAAACAATAGTCCAAATATTATGGAATAATAACTGTAGATATGGACAAGAGCTTATTAGTAATTCAATTTTTTAGTGCCACTATTCACAGTATAATCTGTTATTTTTCAGGCAACTTTAAATTCTATTCACTCAGAATTTTCTCAGCAAAACAACTGCTTCATATTCTTTTGTAATCTTCCAAGACACTTTCTTTTGTTATTACAAAGATTCTGTAAAGACCAAAATAAGTGGTCCTCTGAAGGTGCCGTATCTGGTAAATAAGGGAGATGATTGAAAACATACCTGTTAAGGAGTAACAATTTTTTTTCTTGGCCAGTTATGAAGTAGTTATCCTGATGGAATATCCCATCCTTTCTCTTAACTAATTACAGATTATCTTCATTGATTACTGCCTTTAATTTGCCTAATTGGCAGCAATACTTGTTTGAATGAATTGTTTGATTCTCTAAAGAAGTCCATAGTAGAAAACTTACAATCTCTCTATATTGAAGATTGGCATTTAGTTTAGTTAGTGATAATTCATTTCGGTTGTCTCAAGATCTCTAGAGTTCTAATTTGTTGTAAACAACCCATTTGCCATTTGTTTCAATTAGGTTTTAAAGCAGCGATTTGCACATGGAAATACAGTCGAGTAGGGTTTTGTTAATTTTTTTCACTTCATTTATGCACAGCTGCATCAAACAAACTAAAATAAATAAATCATTTCCAACAGTTAATTTAGATATTCCCCCACATCTTAAAATGTTGACTATTTTCTTGATTGGAATGGGAACTACTGTCAATTTCCATAAATGGGGCAACATTCTTCACATAGGACAGATACTTATTTTTCCTATAATGAATCTGCTCAGCTAGTGACAGGTTAAATCATAACAACTATGAGCCTGAGTGGAACAGTGTGAACTTTGGGAAGGCTATACATGTATTACTGTAACATTAGGTCAGCTGTTTCATTCACCATGAAGTAATTTTTCTTCAAGATGTGCGACTGTTTCCTTTTGGTTTTCAAGATTGGATCTATTTTTTTTACTGTAGCTAGGCTACCCAATTTTTCTGAGTATTCAATAGTATAGGGATATAGGGAAGCTGCCTCCTCAAATAGAATTTATGTTTCACTGAATGGCAGTTACAATGAAAACAACTTGGAATTTGTATAAATCTTTGTAACTAAACACAGCTTATCAACTGATTTTTTTTTGTTGCTTCCTTGACTTCTATTGATAAAAGGCTAATTTTTTTAAATGCGTTTTGTGTTTTCATACCCAACCCTACATAACTACAGTGGGTATTCCTTTGACATTAAATATTATTAAAAAACAAAACTGAGTCATCAAGAAAAAAAATTAAAAATAAATTTTCCACATTTATTAGTTTCCCCAATTTCAGTTATGTGGTTTTTAATGGCAGCTGATAGAGTTCAAGGCTCTATTACTAGTACTGGATTGGCAAAGTGTCTTATTACACAGTCATGCACACACTTAACCTTTATCATTCTGTATGTAATTTCAATTGCTATGCAGAAAGTTTATCTTGCCACTGAAGGTGACTGATCCCTGAATTTGAATTTGTTTGAATTTCATAGTTGTGTTGTCATATCTTGCTATAGGAACAGAAAAGACCTTTGAGTGAAATTAATAAGGTAACTGGTTACTGCAATTGGAAGGCATTGAAAAAGAATGTAGTAGAAAGGGATGTAATAATAATAATGCAGAGTACTAAAGGTTAAATGTTCAAGTCTATATCTATTTTATACTCATGAAATCAATCATATTGATAGTGGGTTGGAATAATTAGGACTACGATTCAATCTCTACATAAGTTACTTAAACCAGAGTAAGTGGGATACTTTTAACAAAAGTAGTAAGTGCAGTACTAAGCATGGAAAGAGGAAACAAAGGGGTTTGGTTCAAAATTCCAAGGTTACAAAGTCTAAAGTTAGACACCTGAAAAAGCCAAAGGCTACAATGGCTGAATCATTATGCATATAACAGCCAAGATGAATATATTGGTCTGAATAATAAAGCATATAAGAACTATGATTTTGTTTTTCATTATCCAATTAAATAAAAACATAGTATATACATTGTAAGGAAAAACAGTGCAGTTCTTGTTTTATTGAAACAAAAGTTTAGGTCTTCTTCAATGCAAAGTTATCAAATGTTGAGGATGAGAATAAGAGAACACATTGTTGGGGAGAGAGTTGTTCTGTATGCCTTCTAATAAGTATTTGTACATGTATAAATTAAATATAAGAGGTGAACCTCTCTTCGCTGTCTTGGTAGTCTTTACCCTAATTCTATTGTTAACATTTATATAGCTTCTCTTAATTAGGAACTGTCATTCTTCATTCTTTTGGTTTACTGTGTGAGCTGAGAAAACCACCTATACAGACTATGGCTTATCAAGAAATATTTTGACATATAATAAAGCTTATAGATTTAAGAAAAACAAAAAAATTAAAAAAACCCTAAAAATATTTAGCACAGAACACAATAAAACATCACAAATAAGGCTGGTTGCAATGTAAGAATTTTTCCAAAGATACCTACCCGGATTTCCTCATTTCGCATCACATCTAAAAGATACCTAAGTAATTCATGACTGTCTTGCTGTTGAAAACCCTTGAATCGAGGAGCTCTGAAGAAAACAGAGTAATTTTATTCTTTATAAATATTATATAAATTAAAATAAAGCATAAAATAATGGACAACTTATCTGTTGTGGATTTACATAATAAACAGAAAAAATATAATAGAAGAACCACAAAAACTTATTTTAATTGAACAGAGATAAAGAGTTAATATAAAAATAAGCTTTTTTAATGGAGAAAAATGCATACACACATTCATATCAATTCATTAAAACAGGCAGTGATGAAGATGGAAGCAAAGAACCATCCATGTGAAGAAGCACCAAGAGAAAAAGGCCACTCCCTTGATTTATGTGATCAGCTCAAAGAGGAATATAGCAGTAACCAATGGAAGAGCAAGCATTGTAGCCAGCAACCACTGGAAAAGCAAGCATTGTGGCCAACAACAAAAAAGTCTGTGTCAGTAGTTGTTGGTAGACAAAACAATTGATGGCTCATCACATTTATTATGGTTCCTATCAAGGATATTCTGGGTACCTCGAACAATAATTGTTATTTTTGTCATCCAGGTTACTAAAATGCTTTAAAAACTATAAAAGCAAACTGTTTTGGTGGTCATGGATTATTTGAATTACTTTTCTCTAAGCAAGTGGTACATAAGAAAGGTTCAGTTGTTACATCAGTCTCTAGAAAGTTTCAGTGATTGCAGTTATTATGCATGGTTTTCTTTTTTTTTATCAAAGTAGTTTTCTTGAAGATCATTAATTGATTGGTTTGATTTTTATGGCTTATCATTGCTTTGTGGGTTATTTAAAGACAAAAAACATTTTTTGGATTGTAAGCATACTTCATTATTTTTGTAAGTGAATATTTTTGAGAATAATGTTTTTTTTCCAGATAAAAGTCCTACTATTTAACCCATAGTTGGTGAGAGGTGATGAATTCATACCTCTCCCAAGGGGATTTGTATGTAAGTGAATGTAACAAACTTGACTGGAATTTGAACTTGGCTCTCCACGTTCACATTCTGAGCCACTATCCATTACACCACTTGCACATCCTTCTTCAAGATCAAATGACTTAGTAATTGATTTACTAATCCTACAATCACAACAAATTAAACCCAAATACACTGTGTATATCCAGGTCCTCAGAAATGTATGATCATCTCCCTATGACTTGTTTTCAAGTCATAAAGTAATTTATACAAAAAAATGTAATGACAACCAAATAAGCACCAAGTTATCCAAATACAGAATAAACTATTTAGACATCAACTGTGGAATGCACACCCACCATGAAAAACTTTATATAAACACAAAGTTTTATAATAGTTGGGTAAAATGTGCAACTTTACAGCATAAAAGTGAAGCCTAAGTGAGTGAGTGATCTTTTTTTCTTATAGTTTTATTTCTTACAGCCTTTATTGGTTATTTAAAGCCAAAACATTTCAGATTGTTTCTTACAGCATCTGGTGTTCCCAAGCAGTCCTCCATCTAAGTACTGAATGGGCTCAACACTGCTTAACTTTGGTGATCAAGTGAGTGATGGGTGACAATTTAAAAATATTTTAATGCACTGAATGCTCTAAATCATTTTACATTGATGTTAGTAAATCTCTCTTTCCATATCTTAAAACTAGCTTGGTATGTTAGCCAAGTCTGCTTAATAAGGATTCAGCCTTGGTGTTTTCATTACCACTCTTTTTCATTTAAACAACCCTTTGTTTTTGTTTACAATTTTTATTGGTTTGAAGAAAAGGTTTCATTTTAATGTTATAATCTTGTAATGAAGTATTAACTGGACACAAAATAGATTTCATTTTAAATTAAACAGAGTAGTAAGAGAACAATCACAAACAACAAACCTTTTGAAAAAAGACACAAAAACTAAAAAAAGATTTAATAAGATCAACTGAAATAATTAACTGTTATTAAAACTTAATAAAGATATCTTTTTTACACTATGCTTCATGTGAGCACTGATGGTTTTTGCTTACAAAGTCCAAGCATGCAGTAAAAACAGACAAAAAAAGGCTCACTTTTTACAAACTTGGCCAAATAGAGAGCACGGGTTGATGGTTGAATTGTGGTTGGAAGAAGTTGTCATTTCATGTAGGAAGGCCAGCAAGGAGCGAGTAAGAGGGCCAGGTTCAGGGATGGTAATGTCAATTGGAGGCTGAAATTAGAAACATAACAATATAAGTTTATTGCACAAGACAGAAAGCAATCAGGTTGTATATCTGTGTGAGTGTGTGTATGACATTATTGAAAGACTTGTCAATATTTTCAGTTTTCAATTTACTCAGGTAGTTCAAACACAGGTAGCCCATACATACATACAGACATACATACATACATACATACATAATTCTTGCACTTAACATTCAGAGTTAAAACTATGAAAAACATAAAATATTTAGTCTGAGTGAGATTGAATGTATTAAGATGAGGATAAAAGTAGTTGACATTTTTTTTGAATGCAAGATTTCTGTTTTATAAACTTGTAACTTCTTTTTGTTTCTATTTATTTTGAATATTTAAGCTTAAAATGATTAAGGAACAATTTTGAAATAAAATATTACTGAGAAAGATTAAGCTTTGGACATGTGAAAAATTATTTAGGTTTTTTTTTCAATTTGATAAGGAATTCATCTATATGTATAAAACATGTATAAAAATTGCAAAAAACTGAAAAAAATTGGGTTTTTCATACTACTTAAAATAAAAACTTCAATAACTTCCTCATTTTTTGTCCAATTTTCTTCAAACATGTTGCAAAAAATTTGCTATCATGCAAGAAATAATAGTGTAGTTTTAGTCCTGCTTGCTTCCCTGTGTATAACAAAAAAACACAAAAAATTTTTTAAAAAGCCAGTTTTTCAATCATAACTCCCTGGTTTTTCATCTGATGCTTTCCAAATTTGTCATGTAAATTACATATGACACACAAATTATCTTGCATGAATGTTTGGTTTAGATTACTTCAGTTAAGTGGACGAAACCTGCAACAAACTAGGTCCAAAATTGGCTTTTGCCATTTAGCCAATAGTTTCTTCATATGATTCCATCCTAAATTGGCATTCAAACAACCTTTGATGCAAAGATTATTTGAGAAGGGTTATTGAAGCGTTAAAAGGGAAAATTTCCCGAATAACCTCTTATTAACTCCAGTTTTACAGTAAACATGCAAAGAAGAAGGTGTTCACACGTTTGCACTTGAATCAAGCTCTGTCGCTTCATACCTATTTTTGTTTGATAATTAGATTTGTGAACAATGCCATACTATTTGAAAGTTATTACGGCCATAGGAAATTTACTGAATATGTAAAACACTGAAACAATTTAACCCTGAGCAACGAGCCCACAAGAAGGTTTTATAGATGGAATTCTTTTATTAAGAACAATCAAACACTTGAAAGGACATACTGTAAAAAAGATGAGGGCTGTATACAAAGGGATGTTGTATGCAAGTGGGGATGCAAGCAGACAATTCTAGATAAAGGGGATACAGGTATACAGGGGATGTGCTTATACAATTGTAGCCATGTACACCCGGGCAATGCCAGGTACCTCGGCTAGTAGCTTAATGATATATCATTACTTTAAATTTAAAAAAAAAATTATTTCATTATGCATAAAAAATTCAATTTTGTTCAGAAAAATATTAGCAATCAGTCATGTAAAATGTAATGGTTATAAAATTTCATGGAGGAGAGAGAGTGACTCTCTATTGCAAATAATTAAACTTTAATTATCCATAACTTTATACTATTTCTTCCATGATACCTAATATTATTTGATATAAGAAAATTATTAAAAACACTTGTGAGAACTGTTATTGTTGTTCTAGCCAGTAGTGTAAGAGTGATGCTATTGAACAAACTATGAATATTTTTTTGTTTTTCATGGGAAACTTTCTGCCCCATTGAAACCTCTGAAAATGATATCAGTTTGAGCTTTTTGGATAAGAAAGCAAAAATGTTATTGTTTCTAATAGAAAGCTACAAAAGACAAGTAAATTCAGAAAATCAGTAAACTGGTTGGCAACCAAGGCTAAAGGATCCAGTCATTCTTGAAATTCAACACTTATCTAAGGGGAGAAGAAATGGATTCATACCTTTCCCAAGGGTATTTGCGTGTAAATGAATGTAATTAACCCAACTGGAATTCGAACCTGGCTCTCCAATTTCTCATGCTGAGCTGTTATTCATTATGCCACCCACACATTCAGAAATTGCAAAATTATCTAAATTTTAATTTTTATTAAGAATACTAAGTGTAAAGTTATTACCCTACAAGATTATACATTATTATAGCATTTAAATGTAATGTAATTTCACACACAATCACAGAAACACAACTTGTTTTTTGTCATTAAAAGTGCCCTTTATCTCCACAAAGTACAATTGTTTCAATTTCACTAGAAGTCTTTTTTTTCTCATATACAAACACATTTGGAACCAATGTCAAAGTTTTATAAAATGAAAAATTTTCTTAGAATACAAATCAAAATATTCACCCAAACATCAATATAAATGTGGATAAAGTTTTCTTTTGGCTAAGAATGAAGACCACGAACAACATTGGAACCATGCAACACAACAGAAATTATAAAATGTCAATTCCTCTACTGATATGGAAATAAAACAAAAGTATTTTTTCCATTTTTCAAGCAATCTTGTTTCTTCGTTGTACCAAGTGAATAAATTCATTAAAATTGTATGAATATATTTTATTAAACATAAATATTGCAGAGTGAAATTACCATATTTGCTGGCACCACAGACACATCAAGTTTAAAGTGCAAATTTTGGAGAGAAAAAAAGAATAAACATGAAAATAAGGTCTCAGTACTTCCCCCTAACTTACCAAGATGTTTTGTGAGGGGGTTTAGCAACATGTTGATCATCTTAACCCCTTATGAACTGGATTTTTTCATTTTACCCTTACAACACAGAGACATGCAAGTTTACTCTCTCTTAAATGTATAAAATACTGAGTGGGATATGTACCCCCAGTAGAGCCACATCAAACACAATGACACTCCAGTTCCACAATCTATTGTTCGCCCCAGCAATATTTTTTCCATTTTCTGGAATTATCACCAGAAGGTTCATTATATGTCTGGAGGGAAAAAAGTTTATCTCGGTCTACCTTTTTTTTAAAAATTTTATCCATAGGATGGATATAGAAATTAAAAATAATATAAAGCTTTACTTTAAATGTAAAACTTATATAAATTCTTTAAAAATATTTTCAAAGAAACAAAAAAATCTTTATTTTGATATCTCATAACTTTTTAGAAAAATATTTTTTAAATAAAATTACTTGAGAGAGATTCAATAAGTTTTATAAAAGTATTTGATGAATTTAATTCAGAATTTTCTCTTCTATAAATAACATTTAAACAATCTTTTATTTTGTTTTTCTTGTCATAATAATGTTTTATTTTAAAGCACTTTATAACACTCCATGTTGCTTCAATATTTTAAGTGTGTATTTGTCCGTTTGATGGATCAACAGAATTTTTTGAATGATTTACTGAAACGAGCCAATAAGGAGAAAATTCATGATTAAAAAAAACAAACTAATATAACTTGCATTATAATCACTAATTTTGGATTAGCATCTAGATTAACTAAATCCATAATGCACTTTTTAAATGTTTTTTCTTTTATTACTTAATAATTGATATCTGAATAGAAAAATAGAGACACTCGCTTAATGTTTATTATTTCATGACAAGTGGGTATGGCTTATAGCTTGGCAGTTGTCAATTAGGATATTCATCGAGATGGAGTGGTGCTAACTGTGTTTAATTTCCTTGACTACTACTTGTCTGTTGGCTCCCCCTACCTTAGTCTGTCACAGGAACATATTTTTTTAGGATACTTTGTTTATTTATTACTTTAGACAGTGTATAATTTATAAATTTAATTAAACGATCACACACAAGAATTCAGTTTACTGTCTGGCATAGATAACCTTCCTTTGGGGGTCAGCATAGGCCTATGAATACCCCAACCATTGTCCTCAAGGATGCACAGCAAATTTTAAAAACTTATTTCAGGACAAAAACTGCATCCTTGATGCCGGCAAATACAGTAATTTTATTTTATTTTTTTTTAGATTAATCAGCAAAAGAAATCAAGAGAAAAAAAAAATGCTCTGAAGAAGCTAAATGAATATTATCAAGAGAAACAGCAACATGCACAATAATCAAAGAGATAAACTCAATTTTAATAAGGGAAAAAAATCTTTTCAATTTTTGTAATATTTAAAATATACATTTAATGGCAAATCAGAAGAAAGTTATAATTTTATAAAATTTATGTAGGAGTTTAAATGAAACCCACACAGAATATTTATAAACTTTATCTTTTCATAAACAAATTTATTACAAGTTATTATTAGCATATTTTTTAATTCAATAGCACAACTACTGTTCTTCAATAATAATGCAAGCATGCAATCTTTTATAAAGTGTGAGATGTTATTAAGTCTTCCCTCAAGTAAATACTGGCTACTGTCAATAAGAAAGAATAAGCTGTCATGATACCTATATGGTCAAAAAAGTAAAAGCTAAGAGATAATTTTTTAAAAAGTATCTTGTTTTCTTATTTTTAATAAAATATGTACTTAGTTGCTTAAACTATGTATATACACACACACAGCAACATATAGTGTAGTAAAATTAAACATTTCTCTAGAGATACATGCATATATAAACACACACACGCACGATGCAATATTATTTGGAATTGAGAAATCCATAGGTAAAAAAATTTATGCTCTGAGAACATGAAAGAATGAATTGTGTTATGTAAATGATTTTTTTAGTGAAAATATATTTCTATACAAATGAGATGCATAAAGAATACTTGAGTTTACAGCCAACACAGCTAGGTCATAAGTATTTAATGGTACAGCTAGTGGACTAATCTAAGAACTAGACGTTTAACACTACAACTAATACATTGCATTGGAAAACTATTCATCCACTACCAAAGCGAACACACTTGCAGAAGCAGTCTCTACATGATCAATATTATTATTATTGAGAAAAATATTATGCAATCTTATTATTTCTAAAAAATTACTGCACAATGTTTACTTTTTTTTCAAGAAGCTGGCTCAAAAGGTTTGGAGGAATCGGTTATATTGTATACTATACAGGGTGTCCACAATTTAAATTCACAATTTTAAATATTTATAAACAAAATTAATTTCTGAAATTTTGTACCTTAACAGCTTTGATTCAAATTATTTTTTATTGAATTTTGTTTTTCTTGTATATCTTGGTATGTTATATATATATATATATATATATATATATGATTTTTCCATCAAAAGAGACTGTGTAATCATTAAAACACAAAGGCTTCACAAAAGAAATGTACCATTATGTCACAATACATATATAGAGACAGGCAATCAACAACCCAGGGTCAAATAGAGCTAAGAAATGAGTATTCACAAAATTAATATTGTTTTCAAAATATTTTTATGCATTAAGCTGATCTGATTATGTTAGCGTTGGACTTTGAAGAAACAGGTTAATGTATAACAATTGCAGCCACCCTGCATCTCAAAATGCAAAGAATCCTTTTTTTGGCAATATGTGCATTTTACATCATGCATCATAAAAGACACCAACTTCAACATGTCAGCCAATTATTTTTATCCACTGTAATCTTCTTTATTACAAGTTTGTTGATTGTTGTCTAATAAGGTCTATTGCAAATATAAAAGGAATAATGTAGATAATAGAAGAAGTAAAATTACCAAATAAGCGGCCAACATACCATGGCTGACAAGAGGGCAGTGTCATATTTCTCTTCCCATTCTATATAAAGTTCAACTTAAAAATGTTTGTATAAAATGAAACCAATCTAGATTCCTTCAATGCAGTGTACTTATGCTAACAATGAATGGTCAATGACATTGTGCAATAATATTGAACATGCAATCAATTGTTAAGCACTCAATATTGACGGACAAATAGACGGAGCAGAGAGAATCATCAGCTGAATGATCCTATATAGTCAGAGATGCAGCAAATGAAAGACAACAGAAATGGATTCAACAACAAATTTTGAAAAAAAATCTTTCAATAAGCATCTATCATGGTAGATCTAAAGGCATTGGAGTAAGGGATAAGAAAAAGACAATAGGAAACAGAGAGTAGGAAGAGACCAAAAATGATGATGGCTTAAAGGAGAATAAATAAGGAAACTAAAATTGGGTAGAAGAAATTAAAATAAAATTAAAATAAATTTCAACAAAACCTCAAGTTTATTACAGTCTGATATTTTTAAAAGCTTTTCATTCATATGAAAAGAAAAATTATTAACTTATGTTCAAATTTAATTTTCCAAATATGGGGACATTATTTAACATTAGATTTTCATAGCAGATGACAAATACCAGCATGCAACATTTTGCTTGGATTTATTCAGGTTTTTTGTTTGTTTTTTAAGAGCAATAAAGAGTACATAAAATAGAACTTCATCTTTCTTTAGCACACTATAGGTGACTATCTTCACCATGGAAAATGTTAATTCTACCAATGCAAGATGAATTTGAATTTCTTGGTTGTGTAGTCATATTCCTTCTATGGCAACACCTAAAACCATCTTAACTAAAATTGAGAGCCAAGCTACTTTAAAATATACAAAACTAATATATATCTATCTATATCTATATATTGAGGGGATTCCATATACAGTAAAAGGGGAAGTAATATTTATAGATGATGCAGAGTACTAAATGTTAGTAAGGAATATTAAATCATCAAACATACTTGGATTTAACTTTCCAGTTAATATTTTCTTATTAAAAACTAAAAAATACTATTTTCTATTTTGAGTCTAAATTCCCTGGATCTAAAAACTCTTTGAAAATTTTCCTGCAAATGTTATTGAGTTGACATTAAAATATCTTTATTCTTTTAGAACTAATTAGTTTGTACTGTATTTATACAAGAATAAAAATAAATAAGTTTTAATGATCCTGTGAAATGTCATATGAACATAGGAAAGTCTTTCATTTTGTCATTTGAAAATTTCATGAGTTTTCATTCTTTAATATAGAACAAAGTTATATAAATGTATCATCAAAATATAGCAATAAATTGGGAAGGTAAGTTGCTTTCATTAGTATAAATTTTACAAAAGAGTAACATTTATATATATATATATATATATATATATATATATACATACTTAACTCAATTTCAAGATAACATTAGCAATGCGATCAAGCAATGGGACCAATAAAATATTTGATAAGTTTTTACCTAACCCTCAGAACTATTAGACTTGTACTAGCAAGGTAAGTATCGTATTTACATTTTAATTTTAAGTAAAAGATTTTTTTTTTTTTTACATACCAAGAAAGTCTTTTTATAGACTAAGAATGCAAATGCACAACACAACAATATTGATATTCATGGAAAGCCACAAAAGAAAAATTCTTTTTCAGCATTTTTGTACTGACACTTCATTTTGCATTAAACAATTACTTCAAAATGAATATCTGTAAGTATAGACATTAAACATTAATGGTTTAAACATTTAACTTGCAGAGTAAAATCTCATGATGTAGAAATGGATTCAATCTTGCATGACCATTAATTATCAGCAACATTTAAAAAATAAAAATGTTAAACTTTCAACCTATTTTCAACCAGTTTATCTTTCATGTAACATCATCAAATTAATATCACCAAATATGTATATTTCATGAATTATAACAGTTTAGAAACTATATTACACCTGAAGAATGCATTAAGACATTACACAATTATTTTATGAAAAAATACCTATCATCATAAAACTAAAAAGATTGGCAGACATGTCTTTATACAATTATCTTTGTCTTTCATAAAATTAATGTATTCTAAAATATAAAAACTTTAAAAAGAGAAAAAAAAGAAAAGAAATGAAACACAAAAATGCACAAAGCAAAATGTTTAGTAGGCAAAAAAAAAAAAAAAAAAAAACTTAAGTAAAATAGACAATATGCTGCACATAAAAGATTGAAAATTATCAACAAAAACAATGTATCTCACCTGTAATGACTAATGACTAAGTAAATATATGTAAACATTTGATTTCTAACAAAGAATTGAGAGTTAGCAGAAATGTATATTATACGGCACGGGTACCAGAGATGATTTAACATACATGGCACTTCAAAGAGATTTGAGAGTTGAGATAAAACTAAGATAGATAAGGCTTAAAATATATTGTATTATCATCAGTACAGGTGATAAAATATCTTTAGAAATGAAGATAAAAGAAATACAAACCAATGTTAATATACAATAATTGTTGCACATAGTTATTTGATATAAGTGAAGATATTGGGTATTTTAATCTTTGACAAAATATCTCAATTTTGTTGTTGCCAGAAGGACATAAGAATGGCAACACAAGCATTGTCATGTTAGCCTGTTCTCACACATGCACAAAAGACACTTCAATGTCAAACTCGGTCATCATTTTACAGAAATCTATATCAGACACCTTTGAAAGTGCATATTTATACAATAGATAGTTAAAATAAAAGCAAAATATGGATAGGAGGTGGCAGAAAAAATGAAATGCAAACAGAATGGTATTGTAAATGAAATGGAAAAAAAAAAGAGATTGGGGCAAAATTAGAAAACAAAATTTAGGGAAAAAAAAGGTAAAAAAAGGCAAATTCAAATAAGGTTTTTGAATGAAATTTTGAGTGGATGCAAGAACTAAATGATAGAGATAGAGGAGAAACTGGGTGTCTGCAGCAAAACAGACAACAGAGGCATAGTGTGGGCAGCTGACCTGATATCTGGTGTTGCAGTTAGCACTAGTGCTGGCTGCAATCTCTGCTTTGAAACCCTTTCTCCGCTCTTTTGTAAATATCCGCCAAACAAGGGAGCTGAGTTTTGCCTGCATATAATCCAAAACTAACAGTGAGACACACAAACAAACAAACAAACGGACTGACATGGACAGATATTTTGGGTTCTTTTTAACCTTTATTTTTAGGCTGGCTTATAGGCAGGTTTCTAATACAATATTAGCTATTAGAATGAAGAAAGCAAAAGATTACAGATATTGGCATTAAAATAAAAAGGTGATTGAGTTAATTATAGCCAGCTAATGATTAAGGAAGAAAAGAAAGCAAAGAACAAATAGAGTGCAATTCCTGTCAAGTACCAATAAATTGAAATAACAATTTATCTTCTCAAGTGTTCTGTTAAAAAACAAAATCAAGTACAACTCAACCAAGTACAAACAATTGTAAATATGACAAATTTAGAGGAAGAAATGGCTTTTATAAATAAGCTAATGTAATATTATTTTAAAGATAAAATTAAAAGCTATTTTCCTTTCCTTCTATGCTCCTTGTTATAAAATTTCATCATTTTTGTATCTCTTTAAAATGTTATTATAACCTCTTTTACTTCAGTTGTACTTATGCCAGACTCATCATCAGGACTTGCAGATGATTAGCCAAAATTTTAATCCTCACACTTCACCCAAATAGAGGTTATTTTTCTGTTCCTCAGATATTAAAATACAATTTTTATCTTGATCTTTACAAAAAAGCACTACACTTAAGATGTAGGTACCGAAGGTACATCTATTATGAATGACTAAAATTGATGTCAATTTGTAACGTTTAGATTTCAGTAAGACAATTAAATTTACTGGCATTTTATTGCTAAAATATACCATTTGCCATGTCTTCTTTTATCAGCTAATCATGACCAATGCACATCATGTACTAAACTAGTGTCAATGTCTATGTTGCAGTGAGAACAAGCCATACTGTAACATAGCAATGTATTAAAACATTTGTCATAAGAATACAGCAGATAAAACTTCTGCCTTTGAAGATTTTCTTTAAATCAGCATTTCAAAAAAACAGGTTGAGAATCCTTTATCTTTAAGTTCTTGGGACCAGAAGTGCTTTGATTTTCAAATTTTGGGGGGTTTTGTAATACAGGCTATTTAATTTGTATATAGAATCTATAAAATGGGGCAGCTTGGGAATGGAACCCAAGCTTAAAAACAATATCTCTTTACATTTCATAACTCAGTTTATACATACACGCTGAAAGTAGTTTGATATAAAATTTAATAAATTTTGTGTACATACAGGTATGCTAGTCATGTAATGCTCACATAGATTTTTAAGTGGTGAAACTAAGATTCCATGTAAAAAAGATATTTTGTACTTTCTGTACATGTGCAAAAACATGATCACTACTCACAAAAAAATATATAAATGCAGGACTTTGACTTTTTGAAATATATCTTTACTGAGTGCGAAAGACCTAGTAAGTAATCCATGAATGAAGGTGGTGTTGTGATGATCGCTAACAAAAAACTGGCACCAAAGTAGAATATGTAGGTGGGCTTTCTGAAATTTTCCATTCGTGGCAAGTCATGTCAACACCTGAAGAGGTTTTAGGATTTGGGAATATCAGATAAAGGATATTCAATCTGGAATTCTATTAAGAACAGGTGAAAATTCAGTTTTTTTTACACCTAAGATATTGATTAAAAAAGAATAGAAATGAAAATATTTAAAAACAAATAATTTAGTAAAAATATATCTACAAATAAAGAATTCATATATACAAAACCACTTTTTCTCTTATTATATATATATATATATATATATATATATATATATATATATATATATATATATATATTTATTTGTATTGTGTATTTAGGCAGCAATCCCTCTTTTTATACATGTTTTGTTAAAGACGACTGACAAAAGTACTGTGATAAATCTTTTATTTAATTTTTCTTGTGTTCATACAAGTGTTTTCTTTTTTTTTCAAAGTGTGTAAAAACTGTCCAAAAGTTTTGCATTTTCAAGCACTTTTGGCTATACTTATAGCCATTATCAAGGATGATTTGATTTTACTTTTAACTGAATGTATGAGTTGTGTGATGTATATATCTAGAGTTATAGAGATGTTTTATTTTTCAAACACTGTCAACACATTTTTGCACCTGTCTATATTTCTGAGATGAGGTATTATGTACATTATTTACATTATTCGGACTATTGTCCTCAACTTTGTCACCATATTTATTACAACATTTCGGCCATTGTACGCTCTGGCCTTCTTCAGGTGGTTGGAATGTCGAACTGAACCCTTTATTTCACTCACTGGAGTAGACTGTTCTAGTTCCATGTACCATGTTTTTAATGGATGTCACTTATCAGTTATCTCCTGTTAATTTCCCTCTGAAAGTTCTCCACTGCCGTAACCGGGTATTGAACTCACACTCTTTGGGTCCTGTCACTGGGGCTAACTAATGCCTTTATCCACTGTGCCATCCTTTGTCCTTCTCTGAATTCACAATCTTCAACAAGTAGTGAAGATATGTTTAAAAGATGAAATCCTTGTAAGCGTGGATAGGCCATGGAGGAAGAATCACATGTGAACAAGGTAGGGGAACACAAACCAGTCCCACTTCAAAGAAGCCCTCAATGAAAGAGACCCACTCCAAGATGTTGTATCTGGTCAGTACAGACACAAAAGAGGCCTCTGATTGAATGCAGACATGTTTGTCAACACCAGTAACATCCAGGTTTTTCCCTGTTAGTAGCGGGACAGTTTGGCATGTTTAGTATATGCCTCTCTGCAATTGGTCAAGATCTGGGTCTTTGTAAGATGCCTCATGCTAATAAAAGCTGTGGTTTCTGAGCTCGTGTTATTTTTGTTACTTCCTGTCTCTTTCCCCTCTCTGTATATTACCCCCATAGTTGCTGGGAGAGCAACCAATGAAGTGTTTCTCCCCAATCTCAACAGACTCTTTGATTACATTACAGCATCAACCTAAGCTTAGTCCAATGAAGTCCTAAAGGACAAAACGCATCACACAAAAACATTTTCCAATTTGTTATACTTCTTTCCCCTATATACACCCATACATACATATATGTATGTATGTATGAAGAGATCTGAACTGCCTTCTGTCTGCTAATGGGTATAAAATAGATAGGTCATTTCTTCTTCCTTTTCTTTCTTCCCTAGCCACTCCTCATATCCAGACTTACACTACTTCCTTGTTTTTATTTGCTCTCTTTTTCTTTTTTACATTTTTCTTCCCTTCTTTCTTTCTTCTGTATGGCCAGTTTTATTTCAATATTTTATCATCCATTGACTGGTTTGAAAAATCCTTGTAAATTTTATTTCAATTTACAAGTTGAAAATGATCATTAACCTAATGTAATCTTAATTCCTGTTGTATAAAATATATATATATATTCAAACAGGTTTGATTAAATAATTTAGACATATCATGTTGATTTATTTTGGTTGTGATCCTTTCAAGTTCATGGATTAATTTCTTGGTAGCCTTAAAATTGATTAAGAAAAATACAAACATTTTTTTTCAAATAGTTTTTATTTTCCCAAATACTTTCAATCTCATCTGAGACCATCTTCAAGGGGTTAAATTGTCTGTGAATGTGTATATGTATTTCTGTAAATTCAAAACATTTTGCCTGGTTTTTTTACTGCATTATGCAGCGTTCTACATTTCAAAATTCACATGTTTTTCCACAGTTTAAGGGAGGTAAATTTTTCATTTTATTTATTTATTATTCTTACACAAATACAAGGTTAGTATAGATGGAATAAACTTTCAGTAACCAAAAACATTATTTTTAAAAAAGTGCTCAATACAGGGTGAATACACTTGACAAGACACCAGAAAATGGTTATTTTTGTAGTGATGTTATAACATACTTATGTTATAATTTTTAAATAAATAATATATATATATATATATATATATATAAAATTTTGCTGCTACAAACATTTAAGGACTTTGTTGCTATATTCATAGTTGACTTTATACTATATAAAGGGCATCTTGGATTTTTAGATTTTGCTTATTATTATTCTTATATAATATTGATGTATTTTCAACTAATATCTGTCTAAACTGTGAGTGTGGGCATGAGTGTTCCTTTAAATGCTGTGAGAGTGAACTATGCTCATCCAAATGAAACATAGGCCTTTTTGTTAGCATCATCATAGTAAAACCAACATACGTATTAACATTTTTATCAGATACAATCTCCTAAAGGACATTTAAATTGACATACAATCTTGACATTTTGTAAGATGCCAGTTGACAGAGAAGAATTGTTTTAATCAACTAGGTTGATTGTATTAAATTTAGTATAGTATATAATTAATTTTATTTTTTTTGCTTGGATCAGTAGGGGATATATTAGTTTTTATGAATCTTTTTAGAATTTTTTTCCTCCTGCTTATAGTTAGAATGCATTTTATTATGGTCTAGTAATTTGATATGTTTAGAGTTATTTGATGATGTATTTATTTATGTTTATATTCCTAATAGCTCATCTAATTTGTTTAACAACAATGTAATTAGGAAAGTCATTATTAATGAGGGTTTGTTTAATATTTTTTAATTCAGTGTAGAAAATCTTTCTTGTTGAAGAATTTGATTTTGCAGATTTTATTAAGTTTCATATAATAGCTATTTTTTAATAGTTAAGACATTCACTTTTATAGTTGAGAGTGCATGTGTTTTACTAGTTGTTTTTTAATAAAGAGAGGTAGTAAATGTATTATAATTATTACTGTCTATCAAAACATCAAGAAACGGGATTGTTTTGTCCTTGTTAAATTCATATGCGAACTTAAGTACAGAGTATTTTTTTAAAGTTTTCTTGTAGTTTATATATTTCATTTATATCTTTGACTAAAATGAGAATATCATCTACATATGTTAGGTAAATGGGGGATATTTTTGTGGTATTAAGTATGTTAAATTAGTCATGTAGAAATTGCTAAATGTTGGTCCAAGAATGGAACCCATATAGACACCATCACATTGTACATATATATAACTATTTGAAAGGAAATTTTGGTATTTTT